AAAAAAAGGAAAGGTTATGCTTATTAATTAAATATTAATTATTATTAAAAGGTAAATGTTTTAAAGGTTTAATTAAGTTATTTATATAATTAAACTTGTAATAAATCTTAATTATTTCCCTTAATAGTTTTAAGCTAATTAAGTAAATAAAATAATCGCATTAATTACTTGCTTTTATTAATATTTTTAAAAGTATTTAATTAAATATATTAATTAAGTATGCAAATTAATTAAAAGAAACGTTATTTGCCAATACTTTAAAGTGTTTAAAGTACCTTGCATTTTATTAAGTGCTTAAAGGGTTTTTAAAGGGTTATAGGCCCTGGGGATGTTATATAAGTGCCTTAAGGGGCGTTAATTGCAAATAAGGGCTTCTTAAGGGTGCTAAGCAAGGGCTTTTTAAGGATGTTGCGAGGAGGGCTTTTCAATATACCAATCGCAAGCAAAGGCATTAGTAATTAAGAGTATTGCGAAGAAGGCTAAGAGTATGAAAGCAATATAACTAAAAGTTAAGCATTTATTATAAACTAATTAATTTTACTTAAAAGTTAAATATTTATTATAAATTAAATAGAATTAAGTAAAGCTTATTATTAGCTTATTTAATAATTAAGGGTATTATAAAAAGGCTTTTAATAATTAAGGAAGGTTGTAATTACTTAAGAATATATTAAGAAAGGCTTTTTAATTAAGGCTTTTTCTAATTATTATTATTAACGATTTATATTAATAAATATAACTAAAGATTGAGTATTATTGCTATAAACTAATTTTTAATACTTAATTAAGCTTTTTAGCGACTTATAGCATTATTATTAATATAAAGTTCCTTAACGAAATTATTATAAGCAAATAAGCTTTTAAGAAATAAAATTTATTTCTTTAATACCTAACTATTTATGCTTGCTAAGTAAACACTAATTAATATTAATTTAGCTTTTATATAATTAATAATAAATAAATAAAGTATATAATTAATTTAGCTATAATATAAAGAGTAAGTTATAACAAAGCTATAGCCTTCCCTTGTTTAATTATAAGCTAGCTATAATAATTTATATATAAGGCATATAACCGCTAGCTAGCAGCCAGCTAATACTAGCTAATAGTTGCTATTAATAAGACTAGTTTAAACCTTGCACCTTTAAATCTATGCATTGCCTGCAGCGCACCCACTACATGGGCACGCTACATGTAATGCTCATATGTATTATTCTCATAACTTAGCTATTATATTATAAAGCAACTTAAATTAATTTTTAATAACTTTTAAATCTTTATAAAAAGCCCTTTAATAATTATAAAAACAATTAAACTTAATCTTTAAGCTAAATTATATATTTATAAAGCATTAAGCTTAATACTTATTTATAAGTTTAATATTATATAAAGCTAATAAAAGATTAATTATATTTTTTATATTAAAAAGTTATAAAAAACACCTTTAAATATCTTGCTTAATAATATATTAAATAAGCATTTACTTTTTAATTAAATTAAATTTATATTATTTAATGTATAATTTTTTATTATTTTATTAATTATTTATCTTTTTATATAAGCTTTATTTAAAAATATAATAAATTTATATAATATAAACAATACTTAAGGGTTTTTTATAATTTTTTTTAAAATTTTAAATAGCTTTAATAGCTAAAAGGATTTAAGATTTATTTAATAAGAAAGATATATATAATTATTAATTCTTAGCGCGTTAAATGTTTAAATAAGTAAAATAATGCAAGATTAACGCAAAAAATAAAGACGTAATTTATATTAAAAATAAACTTACTTATTAAAAGTTAATTACTTTAAACTTTAATATAATTATGCTAACCCCTTTAAATTAATAAAATTAATTAAAAATGAATAATTAAAAGTAATTAGCATTAATTAATGCTAAATTTAATTGATTTCTTTGCATTAAGTAAGTGTTAAGGTTAGCTAAAGTTAATAAATTTAATAAAAATTAAATATAAGGTAATATTAAACATAAGGTAGTAAACCACGTTAAGTTAAAAAATATATAATAATTTAAGTTTCCTTAAATTACTTAATTAATTATTATAAAGCTTAAACTTTTAACTTAAGCTTATTATAATTATATTTTTTATTTTTATTTATTTTATTATAAATATTATTTATATTTTTCTTTAAAAGTTTTATAATATTTTTATAAAAGAATTTAAGTATTTTAAAGTAAATATTTCTTTATTTTAATTTTTATTAAAATTAATTATAAGGTTAAATATTAATTATAATAATAACTTATTTAATAATGTAGTTTACTATTAAGTGGCGAATATTATTAAGTAGCGGATTTTTCCAACTTTACTTAACTTTTATTAATTATAACACTATATTAAGGTAAATAAATTAATAAAAAGTTAGCATTAATTAATGTTAATTATATTTAATTCCTTATTTTTAATTAATTTTATTAATTTAAAAGTATTAATATAAGTATAATGTTAATTTAAATGGGTTAACTTTTAATAAGAAATATACATTTAATATTAATTAATACTAATTATATTATTAAAAATACAATTTACTATAAATTAATAAAATAGCTATATTTACATTAATTAATATTAATTAAGCTGGATTTATTATAATATAATTAAAATTTAATTAACTAAACCCTTCTTTATCTTTTTTATAAGTTCTTGCATTATACCTAATTTTGCTGCAATTACCATATTATTATTTAATTAATTTGCTGCAAACTACTTTCTTAGCATTATTACTTATTTTACTAGCTAATTACTTCCCTTTTTATTTCTCTTAAATAAAAGCTTAAAATTCCTTAATAATAAGTATTCCTTTAAGCTATACTTAAGTTCTTTTAACCCTTTAGCATTTAATAAGTATTATATTAGCATCCTTAAGAGTATAAACTTAATCCTTTAAAATAATAAGTTTATATATTATTATTTATATACTTTTTGCTATTTAATTAATAATCTTTATAATTAATATAGGAAAGCTTTTTTAATAAGTAAAAATCTTGCCCTTAATAAAACTTAATTACTAAATAATTTATTAAGCATTTAATAATATTTAAAACTTTTATTTTTAAGGAAAAATAAGAAGGGATTATATTAAAGTTTATAAGCGGATATTAAGCTTAGAAATTATAAAATTAAAGTCTTAAGAAGAAATTCCAACTCCTTTAAATGCAAACTTAATATTTTTTACTATAAAAGTCTTATTATAAGCTACCTTAAATGCAAGAAAAAACTTAAATTTAATAATATAATTAATAAAGGCTTAAATAAAAAGGTTAATCTTATTGCTATATATATATTTTAAAGATAAATATAATATAATATTTAATGGCTAAAATAAATAAAATAAATATAATAATATATTAATAATAATAATTTTATTATTCTTATAATATTAATTAAACTTAGCTAATATATAGCTTTTATAGCTATTTATAATTAATATTTAATAATTAATATTTTTCTTTAGCTTAATATGCTTATAAAAGTATTAAATTTATTTTAAATTAATTTTATTATTTATTTATTTATTAAAAGTAAGCTTAATAACTTAATTATTTAAAAAACCTAACTTTATTGCTTAGTTAATAAGGTAATAAGCACCTTAAATAATTATAAATAATAAAATTTATAACTTACTTATATTAATATATTTAATAATAATTACTTATTTTTAATTATTAAATTAAATTAATTTAGCCTTTTTATGCTTATTAATATATATAATAATTATTAATAAGGTAATTATATTTATTATAAAGTTAATCTTATTAAAGTTATAAAGATTATTATTAATAATTTAATACTTAATTATTATATTATAAAGAAGCTTAAATTAATTCTTAATAATCTTTAAATCTTTACAAAAAGCCTTTTAATAATTATAAGAATGGTTAAACTTAATTTTTAAGCTAAGTTATAAATTTATAAAGCATTAAGCCTAATACTTACCTATAGGCTTATTATCTTAAAATGCTAGTAAAAAGTTAGCTATATTTTTTATATTAAAAAGTTATAAAGAAAATCTTTAAGCATTTTAATTAATAATATATTAAATAAGCATTTACTTTTTAATTAAGTTAAGTTTATATTATTTAATATATAATTCTTTAAGATTGCGTTATTAATTTATTTTATAATGTAAAGTTATTTTAAAAATATTAAAGATTTTAATAGCTAAAGCTATAAGTAAGGGTTTAACGTAATTTTTTTTAAAGTATTAAATAACTTAAATAACTAAGAATATTTTATTTTCTTTAAATAAAAGATATATATCTTTCTTATTAATTTCTTATATATTAAATATTTAAATAGGTAAATTAATGTAAAATTAACGTAAAAATTAAGGATGCAATTAGCATTAAAAATAGCCCATCCTATTAAAACCTTAATAATTTTTAATTATATTATATTACTTTTAGCCCCTTTAAATTAATAAAATTAATTAAAAATAATGAATTAAATATAATTAATATTAATTAATGCCAACTTTTTATTAATTTATTTACCTTAATATAATATTATAGTTAATAAAAGTTAAGTAAAGTTGGAAAAATCCGCTACTTAATAATATCCGCTACTTAGTGGTAAACTACGTTAAGGGTTTTTTAAAAATTATATAAAATATATATATTAATATAAGTAAAAATAAATTAAGTTTTTAATTTAAATTATATTTATAAAATTATTAAATTTTATAAAAAGTATTTTAAATTTTATTATATAATTAATTACTTTATTATTAATTTTAAGCTATTTATATTAATAATTTATAATATTATTAAAAGTAGTTTTTATTAACTTTATTTATATAATTATTATAAGGCTGTTAATATTTTCTTAGTTATAAGTTATAATTATGTTTAAAACTTTTTATTATTAATATTATATTTTTTTTAATGCTGGGTGTTTAAGCGTTTATTACTATATGAAGGGACTGGATGCATATTGCTTAAGAAGCATATGTGTATAGATTAAAAACGAGACCACTCAACTATGGAATGCGAGACCCTCGGCCATGAGCCGTCGTGGTAGGGAGCTCACGGCCGAGCTTGAGCCATTCATGCCACCTGTTCCGTTCGAGGAACCTGAGAACGTCGACCCGATGTCACCCCATCTGATCTGGCTGAACGTAACCTGTGTGTCAGGCTGAATGGACCCGATGATCTCGGGGTTCCCCTCAGTTGCGTTACAAGGCCCAGCATTCGAGCTCTGCCCGTCTAGCCATTGCATAAAGCCGCCCTTGTCCCACCATATGCTGAAGACGAGGACCATCCCGCGGCTCATAGCGGCGCCCATTCCCTCGGTTGCTCCAAGGCCCATGTATTTTTCAGCACCGGTGGCATTGCAATACTCATCATTCAAAAAGTTCTGGGCTGGAACTCCTTCTACCGTCGAGATGGGCATTTCAATCGTCTTGCCGTCCTGGATATAGAGGCGTCTGATAGCGGTAAGCTGACCGCTCTGATCAGAGGGAAATTCTGCATTATTAACGTCAGCTGTCAAGCTACCGAGGAAGATGCTTCATTCGGATGTGGGGGCGAGTAAACCACAGTGCGGCTGCAGCCTGTCTCGACACCTGCCACTAGACAAGGCTGTTGAGGCACAGGCCACATATATGAGAGGCTGCTTCTGCAGAGGGTTGCAATTGTATTCGGAGGCTGCTTACGTGTGACAACAGTGAAAGGTCGAGTCGTGTCAACCTCCAGGTCGAGGCCATAGTATTCCGGGTGTCCCATCTTGTACGGGTTCATCGAACACTACCATAGCCAGGGTCAGCAATCTGAGCTATGCCATGAAGTAGCAGTTTTTTTTTTTTGTTTTGTGCCGAGAGTGGGAGGTAGTGAGGCGCTAGGAAACGTTTATGAAGTCTGCTTACACCGCTCTTATCGCAGACGCCGTTGTCACCGCAGTCCTCGCCATTTGCATCACATGCGTAGAGGCCAGGAACATTGCACGGGTGCGGGGCTATGTGCGTTGCCCTGGAATTCGCCTCCCAGATATCAAGCTCGTTGCAGCAGACTCCGCTCCCGTTAATATTTCCCTGTACTGGAGTGTGAGAGGTCTGAAAACTTTCAATCCTGGGCTGTACCTTGGGGCCGACATACCAGGCCATTGATGAATGGAGTCGTGTAGCATTGAGCATCGCAGTAACCAGCACCATATTCGGCTCCTGCTACAGAAAGATCGGAGGAGTCTTTGCCTCCGGTCGCTTCCATCTCGGACAGGTAGAGCGCCGAGTTCATTCCACACGGGAGCTTACTCATATCTACATCAAAGGTAAATTCCTGTCCGGTCAACTGGAGCATCTCGTACGCATCTTCGGCCTCATTCAGGAGGTAGATCCGTGGGCTGTACTCAGTCTTGCCGTCGCTACTCAGCATGAGAAGAGTTAGGTCCGAGCCATTTGCGTGTACTCCATTCGCAGTGTAGTCCGGGATTCCTTGCAGGACACAGTTTTGTTGACATGTCTCCTCATCGGGGCAAGCTGTGGCGTTTGCCCCGGAGCCCCAATCGCCACAGTTGGAATCAGGAGCATTGGACTGATAGATGCGGTGCGAAGAGGCGTCGAGAACAAGTGCTGTGTTTTGGGCAGTGCATCCACCATTCGTCGTACACTTGTAGGTCGTGAGTTTAGGATGGTTCTCCGCGGTGGTGTCAGGGGTTTGGGCGGCGACCAGGCTGAAGAGCAGAGGGCCTGCGAGAGCAAAGGTGAGGGACATTGTCACCAGAGATGGGCACTTAATTGCTATGTTCGGTAGTAAAGAACGTGAAGAATGTGGTGAAGGAACAAAGCCGGCTGCAAAATTTGCTCAAAGAGAGGGGCTGAGGCTCTGGGTATCATCAATTAGCTAGACGGAAGACATCTTCCGAATTATATCAAGATCGGCCTAGTTATTCCTCTTCTTACGTCTTTGCATTAATCTTCTCCTCACCAGAGTGCATATGTCATTTAGGGGCCATAGAGCATTTCAGTACCATCGCCCCTCTCGAATCTCGGCTTGGCGCTGCGAGGGGTTGAATTAGAGTTCATCGGACCAGATGGCCTTCAAAGGGAGGAAATCGGGCCAGGTAGCGGACAGCCCTTGATGAACAGGGAAACCAGTACCCTACGGTCCCCTAGGCACAAGATGGCATTGGAGAAATAAAATTGAGGGTCGACTCGTCTGACCCACCACTTCGTTAGGTAAGGACCGCCGTGAGGCAAAAGAAGGTTTATCGTAAACGAAACGGGGTCTCGGCGACCCCTTTTAGCCCCAGCAGACGACAGCTCTTGCCAAGCGGAGTATTCAAGGCTACTCAGACGATATTTACTCGAAACCGACATTCGGGGGAGGGCTGTCCGCCTTGGCAGCTCCCTAAACTGGCGTTGAGGCTCCCAGGACAAGATGAAATGGTGTAAGACAATTGGCTGGCGGCGTGCTAACATGCGATTCAACGGGTCTCGGTGGAAGAACGTTCAACCACTCGGCCCTGGACCCGTAGAGCAAACAAAGTTCAGTGTTTCCAAGAGGGGTCCAGTTTTCCAACCCTGGACCATGCAAGTATCACAAGCTTGCGAGTTCCCTTGAAGAACATCCAGTGGACTGACTGTTAACTTTACTTCCTCTGTATTGCAGCCAATCCAGAGCTGGGGCAAAGACCACCAGTCATCTTTTTCTATTTTCCCTACTACCTGACTTCTTGTGGCGGAATATTGTTCTTAATAACTTATTATTTGCGCAAAGGGCTGGCAAAAGAAACAGAGAAATGAGGAGGAACCAAATAAGAAGAATCTGACTAACCCGGGCCTCAAAAACAGTCCCAAGTGTGGATACGCGTCGTCATGACAATCCTGACCAGGACGACCGGTAAGAATACTAAGTCCGCGGGCAAGTGGCCAACCTGGCTATGGCACCTAACAATCAACAGTTTCCATCTTTGCCCAGTTGCTCCGAATGGGAGCCATGGTGGGGCAACCACAGGCGACAGTGTGAGGGAAGCTTACCGGCACACGAGAAAATGGCAGAGAAGGCATACGGGAAGCCCCACAGTCGGCAATGACGGATGGCCAACTGGGACAGTGGTCGAGAGCGCCCGAGGTACAACTCTGGGGATTGTAGGGAAGAGCTGGGACCTCTGGACCGTCCCTATTTTGAAGAATGATCCAGTCGCCGGCCAGGCTGCACAAGGTAACGAGAAGGGGGGAGGGGGGAGATAGCCTTCGCCTTGATGATGGGCTAAGGTTTCAGCAAAGATGACATGGAAATCAGATCGTGAAGTTTATTTTGAGCAGCATCTTATTGGACAAAGTGTTGCTTGCCCTTTCCTTGGATCAATGAGCCTCTGCCATTCTTACAATAGGATGAAGCCCTCCACAGTCAATCAACCAACCCCGGAAAGTACCACAAATACGTCAACACGAGCTGGACAATAAGTCTGGTGGCCCACATTCGGTCCACCCCCTGATTCGGCCCACGTTTCCCACCAAAAACACCAATATTTAAAGCCATCTAACTCCATTAATTAGGTATGTAAAAACTTTAAATTAAAACTACATAGAGTTTATATATATTAAACCTTATTCCTAAATTCTTAATTTTATCGGTATTTTAAATATTATTATATAAAAGGTATAAGTTTATAAAACCCTTATACTTTAAGTATTTATATTTTATTAAACATAAAAAATATAACTTTAAGACTTAAGATTAAATTATATCTTAATATTAAATAAATATATAAAAATGTATTATAAATTATATAAATTATTTATATATATAAATAATTATTTTTTAAAAAGCTTATAAAATATATAATATTTAATATTTTATTATATAAATTAATAAGATTTAAGTAAAGAATATCTTTATTTTATATATATATATATATATATATATATATATATATATATTTAGCTGTATTAAAATAATATAAATTTAAAGATTTTATTAAACTTATAAAAATAAAATATAATTTTCTTTATATTATTTTTTAAAAAATATTATATTTTTACCTTATTTAAGCTATATAAATTTAAAATAATATAGTTATGTTTATTTTTAAAGTATAATATAAATATAAAAAGAAAATAAAAATAAATTTAAAATATATTTAATTTATTTAATTATTTATAAAGACTTTTAAATTATTAAGAAATCTTATATAATAAGGTATAATTTTTAATAACTAGGTTTATATAAATTTATATTATTATTAAAGCTATATATATAATATATAGATTTTTTTCTATATATAATCTGTAAAATTATACCCTAAATTAATTCTTATTAATATACATATTTAATTGGTGGAGATATAAGTCTTTAAAAAGTGAGTGTTTTGGTGGGAAACGTGGGCCGAATCAGGGGGTGGGCCGAATGTGCACCTTTTGACTTACCTTTCACCTTGGCGAGTCGGCAGGGTTGCTTGGGTGACGACTGGTGTACTTGGTAAATGTCTTATTTTAAGAAGTCAAACAAACACACGTTAATGGATGCTTAGCCTCCAAGCATATATCAAACTGGCATGCTCGCACCAGTGTAGTAGGAGCGACTAGGGGGCAGGGAATGTGGTGTAGATCACCTGGGCAAGGTCTAGAATGTATTTCCCCGGGGTTTTAGTCAGTAATAGATCAGAATATGTATTCGAATGCACGTCACGTCTATGGGGGAAGGACTTGCCGTCCAATCGATTTCCTGCATGCATTCATTCATATCTCTGCAGAACTACTGTATCAGGGTATGGGGACTAGGTATGTCATGTGATAGCATTCCAGAGTGGTCCAGCCACGCTTTCTTCAAGTTCACCCAAAGGTATCGGGAGTATCGGCGACATACACAATGCGATCGATTCACGGATTCTGCAACTTTATGGCCTTGAAAGTCTGCAGGAACAAAAGAGCTCGACGGTGGGGATTTAAGTGTCTTACAAGCACGGCAGCAACCTGTCGCGAGGTCAATTTCAACAACATGAGAAACTTTGCTTGTGAAATGTATGGACGGGCAGCACCACCGATTCAGACTGTAATAGCATGCATCTAAGCACAAAGTTAGATGTAGCCTCGCATTATTCATCCTACCACTTGTTCCCTCGGCGCTTTGTCTCCTTTCCCAGGCTGCGGACCTTAACACATGTTCCATAATACAGTGCAACCGTCTAGGAGGACAAGGAAACTCTGCCCTTCACAGTTGTAACAGCATCAGCGATCCTGGATGATCTTAATTGGGGTGCTTCAAATGACTGGGATGCGATGAATTTTACATGTCTGTGTGGCTGCTCAGATACCCAGGTACAGACACTGACTGTGTAGTGTTAGGTGTCCTTGCACATACATTGGAGCTTATTGTCCAATCCAGGAAGCCGCCAAATCTGTTGCAACTCAAAAAGCGTACAAATTGGCTTAGGCAATAACGAGTTACTCTGCAAGTGGGAGAAAACCTTACACAAATGGTATTTGCGGTTTTGGGATATAGACTGCTTTTCAACACAGAAAACCACGGACCACACTGAGCCTCAAGAGGCCGCCTAGGAAAATTTACTGGAAGAACGAATGGTGGTTGTCAAGCTTGGTCGTATTTTCATCCCTGCTACCTGTTAATCACCTGCTACGGGTCCTGAAGTGATACATTGTGGAACATTCCAAAACACGACAGACGGGGGTCCGTGAAAGGACAAGAATGAGGCTTACATGACCTGCTGAGCGGTTTGTACGGTGTCGTGGTGCTCGGCGCCTAACCCTGCATCTTCGTCTGCGGTCTCGGGCTTATCATCGGGATGTTCGTTGATGAACAAATCCTTGATAGCGCCGGCGCCAATGGCACGCTGATAAACGTTGAAGCTTGTGGCAAAGTCGCGGTGTTTTCCGACGCGGATATTGTCCAGGAAATTCAGGGCAAAGTTCTGGCAATTGTTGTCCAGGAGGTTATAGGCTGGTCGCTTTTCCCTCATATTGAAGATGACCATCTCGCCTGGTGAGCGAAGAAAGTCAATGGGACAAAAGCGAGACGAAAGCGTCAGGTCGCTACCCAGAAGTGATGCTTACCAGCCTCAGTGAGCGCCTGGTCACTGAATCTTGTTTTGCCGACCTCAAAGGTGTGCCATTCATCTCGGTTGAATGTCTCATTTATATAAATGACGTCGAAGTGTTCGTCCATCCTGACGAGTAACCTCAGTACGGAGGAGACCCCCGAGGGGGGGGGCAGTGGATATGGAGAGAAAGCAGGAGGGAGGCTACATATGTAGCCGTACTCACCAAAGCTCGTGAACGAAGTCGCCGATAATACAGGCCCAATGCTGGGTGGGGTCAGGGCTCTTGTGGATTTCTTCAGTGATCATCTTGCCCAGCCTGGTCTGTTCTGCAAACCACTTGCCCGCTGAGCCAGCTACGGGATGCCAGCCCAGCTCGACAGTACGGGGCTCCTGGCTGATGTTGACCTCACCAGGCGGGACGACGCTTGGCCTCTTGCCAAGTCCCAGCTCGTGCTGCAGGGTGAGCTTCGCCTTGAGCACATTGTCCTTGCTGAGGTGTGATCAGCTGCTGTGTATATGTGTTTCTTCAATGTGAAGAGCGGATGTGGGCTGGGCGGGGGCGCGGGGGAAAGGCTGCGTCGTCTTACAGGAAGTTTCCTAGCACGGTGGTGGGGGGACTTAGGGTCGTCCTCCGTCTTTGGCTCGTCCGAGTCCGACATGGTGGCCCTGATTGTTGAGCGCGAGAGACGCAAGTGCACTGAGGAATACACTTTCCCTGACAGAGGAACGCGATGGGTTCCCGTCCTGCTGTTACGCGACCAAGCTTTCGGATAACCGTCAGGCAGGAGAGTTGAGCCTGCCCCGGCCGTGGAGGGTCGAGGTCGTCCAGCCGGAAGCGGGTGAGTCCATTGCCCAGGAAAGCCTTAGTCTAAAGTGGGGGGGGGGGGGCGCCTGAGGCATTGAAGAAGAGGTTAGTACCGATTAGGGAACACTGCTTCTCAGCCAGCCAAATCCCCCGGTTTATGTAATCGGTACATTCCACGAGCCAACCCCCCTCGTCCCCAACGAGGAGCACATTCTGAAATTCAAGGTCTTCAGCAGGCGGAACCGCAGGTAAATTCCATGCAGACATCGATGACCAAGTAATCAACCGACAGGCAGACAGCCCAGAACGGGGGCAGACGTGTCTGTATCCTGATAGGAAGAAGTCACCGTAACCCAGATTACCAATCGACCCCCAACGGCGGGGGAGGAGCGAGGGAGTACCTTATTAACGGTAACCCTACACAGCGACGTACAACAAGCATTTTTGTAATTGTGGCTGCTCCTATTACTAGCAGTCTGCTGGCCTCGAGTTGAACCCGCGCAGCCGACTCTTTCTCTCTAACACACCATCATCCACATCACGTCAAGAACAGCCATGTCGGACTTCCCTCCCCCAGCCCTCCGAGAAGCTGCCTCCAAGGTGGCCAGTCTCCTCCGGGACCGCAACGAGACAATCTCCGTCGCCGAGACAGCCGCGGGAGGGCTCATCTCCGCCGCGCTACTCGCCACTCCTGGCGCTTCCAAGGTGTACAGAGGTGGTGCCACCCTGTACACTCTCGAGTCACGCATCGCCTTTGGCGGCTGGACGCAGGCCAACATCGACAATTACAGTGGTCCAAACCCGGACCTGGTTGCGGGCCTCGCCAAGCACGTCCGTGGAACGCTGGCCTCCACCTACGCCGTTGCTGAGAGCGGCACTGCCGGTCCGACCGCTCCAAGGCAGAGTGCAAACGGACAGCCGTGAGTTCTTCTGCTGTCCATGAGTCCTGGCCCATGCACACCCTGACTTGCGACTTCCACGTAGCGGCTATGTGGCCCTGGCCGCGGTGGGCGAGAATGAAACGTTAACCAAAGACTTGAACACGGGCCTCCGAGACAGGTCAGCAAACATGGTGGCATTTGCAATAGAAGCACTGAAGCTCGTGGAGGAGCTGATCATCAACGGCGCGTCACACAGCGGCAAAATCTGAACTGACCCGTGCCCGGGGGACCACCCCGCTGTGGTCCAGCCTGGAGACTGCACTGCTGGGAAATATCAATCCTTGGAAGGCAACGGGTCTCTACCCGCGCAGAGCATGCTATGGAACCGTCAATTCCACTCCATAGGTACAGGAGCAGAACTGGCCGCCGTCCCGCCATGTATTCTTTTGCGTGTATATGTCAAGATATCGCAGCGACAGGTTGGCAGAAAACAAACCGCCTTGAAACAATACTGGAAAGATATACGTGACGGTATTTCCAATCGGTCTTGCCGGCCATACAACTTAGTAAGTGAGGAAGAAGTCGTGAAAGGCATGAAGTTCACGGCCAAATCGATACCTTTATTGAATCATGCAACATCGACACTCTCGCACATCCTCGTGCATACGCCGCCACTAGCTACACTACTAGCGTAATCAATGAGAAGATTTGTACGCTCTGACAAGAGGCCACTCCGAGCTTTCGCTGGCTTAAAAGGATTCCATGTGGTGAGCTACCTGAAGACGCAAATTATGAGGAGGGAGCGCAAGGTCGCGCAATTCAGCATCATTGCTTAGGTTTTCTCGCGGTCGGCTGAAAACCGAACGGCATCGACTCCCAAAGCACTGCTTAACATGTGAAGCGGCATCTTAACAGGTGGCGGCTGTGCTCAGAGTTGACCTTTAGTGGCAACCTCTAGACATTGTATCCACAAGAGCCGAGCGGCCGAGAGGGACAAGATTGCGGATCGACATTACAAATGTTCGCCAAAATCGGCCCTCGTTTGAATACAAATCCAAGAATATCTATTCATTCATCTTTCTTGGCCTTTCCGCTCTCTGTCTTTTCTCTCCTCCTCCTTTTCCAAGCAGCCAGCTCATTCAGCAGGCCCATAACCAGCGGCACGCCAACTGGTCCCAGGAGTGGCAGGTACACGGCGATCTTGTGTTCATCTGGAAAGTACAGCTGTCCGACCATGCTCTTCTCGAAGAAGGCCTTCTCAGCCGCGGCCTCTGCGACTTGTGCGTGAAGCAGCCCACCAGGGGTCCCAAGGCTCTCACAGGCCAGCCGGAGGTGCCGAATCGTGGTGCTGACACCATCGGCTACAGACTGCGGAATCGACATGGACGGGAGAGCGAGGGACAGGCGAGCAAGTGATCCCAGAGTACTGGAGGCGCGGAGAAGAAGATCTGCAGAACGGATGCGAGAGAGGGTGGAGAGGCGCAGGGGCAAAGATCCGGAGGTCGGGGTGCCGAGGAGCGAGAGGAGATGGGTGGTGAAGGTCAGGAGCGGCTGTTTGAGATCTTGAACCGCAAGGTGAGCCTTGTCACTGTTCACATTGAGGAGATAAACAGTTCCCCATTGGGGGATGAGCCAGGAGTGGGAAGTCTCGGACACGGCAGTCTCACTCGCCTGGGCATCCTCGTGCGTGCGGGGCAGGCCGATGGTTTGATTCCCCACGAAGACAATGAAGTTCACCGTGGGAGCACCGCCGATCGAGGGTGACAGTGGCCACTCGGCAGCATTGATAAATGAGGAGAGGTCGTCCTTGCTCAGAACCGGAGACTGGACACCGGGGGCGGCGTAGAGCTGGACCTGGGTATCAATGGTGAAGTTGTGGATGGGCCCAAGAACGTCCAACACCGGCTTCATGTACTCGTCGATGGCGGATTCGATATCCCAACTGCTGGGCGCGGGCCCATCGGTGAAGAGTGAGAAGGTGAGATGGTACGCAGGTGCGTACCTAAGAGACCGGGTCGTGCGCTTCGCGATTGTGCCCGCGGCGTCGAGGGCAAGGCCCTGAGGCTTGTGCTCGGGAGCCGCAGACGAGGTGGACAGCAGGTACGATATGATGGTCTGCTCCTCGGCGAAGGTGGAACGCAGCTCGCTGGCGACGTACGTGGCCAGAGAGGAGGACGAGGAGCTCGGGGACGGGATCGCGTTCGGCGTATAGGTGATGTCGAGTACGGACTGGTAGGGGTGAAGCGAGGCGGTGGTCGACCCGCCAGGTTGAAGGCGTATGACAAGGGCAGCTTCTTCGAGGTTTGCGGAGCCATTCACTGTGCTGGTCCGGGGGTCCAGCTGTAGTCGCAGGTGGTGGCCGGGAAAATCGTTCAGGTCATCCAGGGCGTGTTGGGTCAAGCGCAGCAGGTTCTGGGCCTCCTGGTCCTGCAGATGGCTCGCCTGGATGGAGATGCGAAGGGGGAAGACTGGTCGGCAGGCCTGGGACCACGGGGTATAGGTCAGCATGATTGCCTTCGGGTGTTGCGGGCATGGGAGAGCCATGAACGGGAGGCACGTGTGTGTGATGAACGTGACGTTGAATGATGGTGCTCGACGTACCTTGCCAACAGCCCAGTCCATCATGTCGTCCAGGGGCAGGCTGGCACGCGGGATTGTGGTGGTTCTCCACCATATTGGAAGGCCCAGACACAGGACTATCAACCAGAATGATAAGATGACCACAGACCGTCTGCGGGAGTCTGAGGGTTTCTCAGGAGGAGGTTCCTTGCGGCGTGAGGTGGTGTCGGCAGCCACAGCAGTAGGCGGTGTGGTGGACACGCTTGCCGTCGCAGGGTGGACATGGGCAGCCATATCGACGTCATGTGAATTTGTAGCAGACATGGCGGCGCTGGCTACATTGCGTCGTCGTCACCGTCGTCGTCGCCGCCGGGCGTGGAGGTTGCGGTACAAGAGAGGAAGGGGGCGAGCTCCAGCAAAGGTGGTTACAGCCCGGCCCGGTCCAGGGCCAGGGTCCAGGTTCCAAGGCTCTAGGTGAGGGCCACCCAGCTGTGAGGAGCTTGTCTGACAGCTGGTGCACCCCCAATCCTGCAGTCAGACAAACAAGTACCTCGGTACCTGCAACCGATGGTGGGTGCTTAGCTAACCTTCGGCTTCACATGCGATTTGGCCGGGGGTTGCAACTTGCGAGTGGCATCACCGTACACTGCATCTGGACACCGTCCCCCGAATGCCACACAACTATCAGGTGTCCCCCGGGTGGACATCGGCATCGGGCTGTCCTCGCCACGGGCTGGTTGCCGTCAGCCTGTCAGCCTCCGTCCCGCGGCCTGCGCTGCCCTGGCTCCTTGCTTTCGACCATGGATGCCCTCATTGGGCATAGCACCCAAAGTCCGCGTTCCAGACGTTCGTCCATTGAACCGGTGGAAGGCCCTGCATGGCCGGGCATGCAGCAGGGATGACCCCGCGCGCCGAGAAGGGTCGCAGTGCCGTGAGAACCTTGAAATCATTAGACCACCACAGTAGAGCTCTCCTCTCGCTGGCCGAACCGAGGTACATGCATGACAGCATGCATCTGAACGCTCCCGGATCTCAGGCCGATGTCTTCCCTCGTACGGGGCTCCTCCTCATACACGTTCTTGCACGCTCGCATGCTCGCACACGTGCACACATGCGCACCCGTACATGGATCCATTTCGACCGATGGCCCAGGCATGACCTGGACTTGCACTCTGTCACTGTCAGGCTGGGCCTACGTCTCAGACTTGTTTAGAAAAATACCACCTCCCCCAGCTTTGCCACTTTCTGCCCGTTCGTCTCTACATCAGACCACACTTCCTCCTGCCTTGTCTCCTTCGTGTACATACTTATAAACACACGAGCGCACACACTAGCACAGCTATATACACCGCCATCTTCCTCTTCCTGCTGGTTCAATCCTGCTGTGTGGGCGCGTAGCTGCTCCCTGAATCCACATCTGTCGCATGATCCAGATCCAGACCCAGACCCAGACCCAGACCCAGATCTTGCCCTTTTGACCCGTCACCGCATATTGCCGTTGACATATAGCCGTGTCTCTCACGCCCAACACATCGCTACCGCTACCGTCCTTGTGTTTGGGGGCAACATTCCCTTCTTGCGGAACTACCGAGTGCCACATCCTGCATGTTACCGATCTCTTCGTCTCACGACCACAGTTCGCTCCACCCAAGTCGCACAGACAACGCGAACGCCTACGCCGTGCCTCGTCTCGCGGTGCTACTGGTATAACTGCCGTTGCTGGCTTCACCGCATGCTTTAACAAGCCGTCGCGGACGTACAGACCGTGTTTCGTCTTCCTTGTGCCCGACACCACAGAGTCCTAGTTTGGCGCAAGTGTCCCTCGCGCCGCAGGCCCGTTTCTCTAGGGTGTTCGCCCCGAAACTGCTGCTGTGTTGCGTCTGACAGGAAGTCTCGGGCTCGCTTGCTGGTGATACCGCCCCCAGGCAGGCGGTATAAAACTTCAATATGCCCGGTAAGTGTGCCTCTTAGACTCTCCCTCACCGAAAGTCAGCACCGCCGCGGCACGCCTTAGTCGCCAGCGACCCGTACGAGTCCAGCTCCCTTACCGGGACCACAATGGATTTCCACTGGCTGCTGCTGACCTGCTCTCCCGTGCAGTGCCCCTGGCCGTCGCGGCCCCCGCAGCCGTAGCCGCGGCAGCATATATCAACGCCAAGGCGCAGGTCTGGTACGACCTGAAAATGCTCAGCTGCGTCTCGCCCGTCGCGCTGGGCATGTTTTGGCGCGAGCGGACGGGCAGGTTGAGCTTGTTCTATGACCTGGAATACTACGCCACCAGCTCCAGGACGAAGGACATGCCCTTCCTGCTGTTTGAGGACAAGCAGTGGAACTTCAAACAGGGGCTGGAGGACACCTTGAGGTATGGGACCTGGCTGCGTGAGGCACTCGGGATCAAAAAGGGCGAAATCGTTGCTATGGACTTCCCCAACAGCGACATGTTCGTCTTTGTGTGGTTGGGCCTTTGGAGTATCGGTGCCAAGCCGGCGTTCATCAACTACAATCTCACCGGTCAGGCACTCGCTCACTGCGTCCGCGCCGCGGGTACGAACATCATGCTCATCGACCCGGCCGTGGCATCCAACATCGACGATCACGTCCGCAAAGAGCTTGTAGACGTCAGGTTGGAGTTCTTGACCCCCGACCGCCAGAAGGAAATATCGGCGACGAAGCCTGTGAGATTGCCAGACGAGGCGCGAACGGAGGATGGCATCGACAAGATGGCAATCTTAATCTACACCTCTGGCACGACAGGGCTGCCTAAGGCGGCTGTCGTGAGTTGGGGAAAGGTCCATGCCGCGGGAGGCTTCGCGGCCAGGTTAATCGGGGCGAAGCCGGGTGAGATCTTCTATACTGTAAGCTGCCACCCTGGAGCCGAGTGAGCCGGCGACGGCGCACAACACCAACACGCACACGCTCAAGCAGCCCGGTGAGTAACCTTGCTAACTCTGTATTCAGTCCATGCCCCTCTACCACTCGTCGGGCGCCCTTCTCTGCTTCGCCAACGCGCTCCTCATGGGCGCTACCGTCGCACTCGGGGCCAAATTCTCCACGCGCACCTTTTGGCGTGAGGTGAGACAACACAAGGCAACCATGATTCAGTACGTCGGAGAGACCCTCCGCTACTTGCTGGCAGCGCCGGCCGAGGTCGACCCGCACACGGGGCATAGCATGGACAAGCAGCACGCGGTGCGCGTCGCGCTCGGAAACGGGCTCAGGCCTGACGTTTGGAACCGTTTCAAGGAGCGGTTCGGCGTGGAATACATTGCTGAGTTCTACGGCGCGACCGAGGGCAGCTTTGCGACGTGGAATCTGAGCAAAAACGACTTCAGCATGGGCGCCGTGGGGCGCAATGGCTGGCTGTACTCGTTGTTTGTCGGTCTCGGGACGGCCATCGTCGAGGTGGACTTCAGCACCGACCTGCCATACCGGGACCCAAAGACAGGCCTGTGCAAAGCGTCGAGGCCCGGCGAACCCGGCGAGTTCTTGTTCAAGCTGCCGGAAAAGGAGCTGGAGAAGCGCTTCCAGGGGTACTACAACGACAAGGCGGCGACCAACAAGAAGATACTGAGGAACGTGTTCAAGAAGGGGGACGCGTGGTTCCGGACGGGGGACGTCATGCGATGGGACAGCGAGGGCAGGCTGTACTTCCACGACCGGATCGGCGACACGTTCCGGTGGAAGGGCGAGAACGTGTCGACTGCGGAGGTGTCGCAGGTGCTGGGGCTGCTCCCAGCGGTGCACGAGGCGAACGTGTACGGCGTGCAACTTCCACACCACGACGGCAGGGCAGGGTGCGTGGCGCTGATCCTCAACGACGGCTTCGCAAATACCAAGGACGAGGTGCTGAAGAGGCTGGCGGAGCACACGCGGCGGGAGCTCCCGAGGTACGCGACACCGATCTTCCTCAGGGTCACCAGCCCAGGCAAGATGGCGACCACGGGGACGAACAAGCAGCAGAAGCACGACCTGCGGGTGCAGGGGGTGGACCCGGGCAAGATGGACGGCGACGAGCTGTACTGGCTGGAGCAGGGGAGCTATGTCCCGTTCACAGAGACGCACTGGGATGCGTTGAATGCGGGGAGAGTGAAGCTGTAGGCTGCGTAGGTAATAGACAAGACGTATTACTAGAGGGCCAGTGGTGCAAGCCACGATGGGAATCACTTGCTAGAGCACCGCCAGTGTTTGTCATGTACTGTCGTCGGTATCCGAGCAGACAAATTAGGTAGTCAGTCAGTTGGGTGAGGGCGGCACGGAATGGCTCAACATGGCAAATGGGAGGAACTGACGGACGCAGCTGCCAGGCAGCCAGCCCGGTCGCTTGTCTGCGTGGGTGATCTTGTTTTGACTGGCATAGCTGGAGACCTAGATACAGGTACTTAGGTACTGTACCTAGGTATAGTGCGAATCTTCACGTTGGGGTGATAGATTAGGAGCTATCGAGGCTCATCTACGTCTGCAGTCAAGCCCGTCTCGACTCGTCTCCGGATGCGGAGGAGCTCAATGCCCAGAATGCCACGTGGGGATGGGCCAGCACCCGCAGCAGGCGAATCATGGAGCTTGCTGATGGCGTAATCAAGCTGCGACCCCACGCTCGATGGGGTGGGCCGCCAGTGCTGTGGGTTCCGAAAGGAGCAACAGAGCCGCCAGGCTGAGCAGCAACGGACATCTCACCATCAGCCCAAGAATTGCGCCTTTGACCTCACTGGCCACAATCTATCTGGTGGGCATCAGCAGCGAGGGAATAACGAGGCACAAGACATAACTCGGCCAACGGGCAGGTTGACAGGCACTCGTCGAGCACCTGGGCAACCCCATTGCCCTGCGCATCCCGGCGGGAAGAGGGGGGAGAGACAGGACACACAGCACGGTGGTGCCACGAACATGATTGTATCAACATCGTGCTTCCCTGTCGTGACTAATTCCAACGCTCAAACTCGGATCGTCAATGACAGATCAGCTGCAGACCACTGACCGGACCAGCTGCCAGCCCAGTCTCAAGAGCAGATGGACGGGGCGGCGAGATCGCGTAGAGGTAGAGACAGAGAGACTCGCGCCATGGCCCCCGCCCCCGCCATCCATCCCACTTGATCGCTTGTCATGTCTTGGTTCGTCCTCGATTTCTTGAGTTTGCTGCTAGTCTATTTGAACAGAGGCTGCCCCAATCCCACCTCGCTCTTTTCGTGTGCTTGACGACTTTACTTTTTCGGCACACAGATCTCTGCTCCCGCTTCTTTTACTTGTCTTCTTGCTCCCAGATATCTCTCCCCACCACACACACACACACACACACACACACACACACACACACACACACACAAACACACGCGCGCGAACTCATCATGGCTGACCAGCGTCCTGCTCCGTGAGTTCCCTTGTCCATTCCCACTACCGCTTCTCCCTTACTCACCCATTGTCCCGGCTTGGACGGCTTCAACCCACATCTGTGGGCTTGTCCTTATTCTTGTAGAACTAGCGGCTAACATGCTGCCCCCTACAGCCTCCGTCTGGGCACCGTCGCCCCCAACTTCAAGGCCGATTCTACCAAGGGCCCCATCGACCTGCACGAGTATGTCGGCGAGAACTGGGTTGTCTTCTTCTCCCACCCCGAGGACTACACCCCGGTCTGCACCACCGAGCTGGGCGAAATGGCCCGCCTTGAGCCCGAGTTCAAGAAGCGCGGCGTCAAGCTGCTGGGCCTGAGCGCCAACACCGTCGACTCGCACGAGGGCTGGGCTGCCGATATCAAGGAGATTAGCGGCAACACCCTCAACTTCCCCATTGTTGCCGACAAGGAGAGGAAGGTCGCCTACCTTTACGACATGTGAGTCTTGCCCGCGTCCGTCACCACGAGACGAGAGCCAGCCAGCCAGCCAGCCAGCCAGCCAGCCAGCCAGCCAGCCGTGGCGACACAAACACGCTGACCAACCCTGCCCTGTGTCTTAGGCTTGACTACCAGGACACCACCAACGTCGATGAGAAGGGCATTGCCTTCACCATCCGCTCCGTCTTCTTCATCGACCCCAAGAAGACCATCCGTACCATCCTGTCGTACCCCGCCTCCACCGGCCGTAACAGCGCCGAGATCCTGCGCGTCGTCGACTCGCTCCAGACCGGCGACAAGAACAAGATCACCACCCCGGTCAACTGGGTCCCTGGCGACGACGTCATTGTCCACCCGTCTGTCAAGAACGAGCAGGCCAAGGAGCTGTTCCCCGACTTCCGCATCGTCAAGCCCTACCTTCGATTCACCCCGCTGGCAAAGGAGAAGGCCACCGCTGGCATCTAAGCTGTGGGAACAAGGTCTTCAAGACGTCGTGCAGGAGGTGAGGACTCGCTTCTCCGTGTCCCAAACTGATGGAACAAGCCTCACCGCGATGGCTGGGCACCATTCCATTTGTTGCGGGTTGGTCATGGCCCAACAGCAGCACCACCTGCGGGAGCCCGCTATGCAATGATGGCTTCCTGGCTCACGTACGCATAAAGTAGTAGTCGAAAACACCGCTTTTAAAGAAAGTATCTTAATAAACAAGCTGAAGCTAAAGTCACCAGGCTTACCATGACACCGTGCAGTGCTGATTGAGGTTTCACCGTCTCTGATCCCCGTGGAGATGACTTAGAAGCCAAGACAAGGCACAAGTATCCGTGCCGAGGAACACTATCTTATGCATGGAGGACATGTGGTTGATGCGGGGCAGGGCGGTCATGCGAATGCTTGAGTCCAACACTTTGACTATGGTGGTAATGAAAGTCGCGCCCAGACATCCCGGGGAGTGAGCGTATGGTTTCAAGGCAATGCTGCGAGGCAATGCAGCCGACGGCGATGGGCCGGGCTGCAGTCGTATGTTGTGAATATATTGGCAAAAGGACGTTCTGCAGACTCGGCTCTTTCGTATCTTTGTGACGGCATTGGGATAGCATATGGGGCCGGACGTGGCACCCGAAAGTCTGGGCCTCTCGGAGTAGATCTGCAGGCCTGTAGATTCTGTTAGTGGGCACGCGGGGACCTTGGTGCGGGACGTTTCAACCGGGGAGGGGGGATATGTTTGAGCGAGTGACGCCGGCATGGACCGCCGAAGTATTGCCCGCGGAGGGCTTGATGTCTTGGACTGTGGGGGGAGTGAGTGCTTGGTGATACAATCCTGCTATTGATATTGTCCGCCCAAGAACCCTCACGCTCTCTCACTCACTCACACCTCTCTCTGGCATTACACGTTATTAGTCATGGCCTCAAAAGGTTCGTCCCCAGAGGCTTGAAATAAGCATAAATCGAGGATGGCAGGACACGGCCAAGCATGAAACGAGGTAGGTTCAGTTGTCTATGTAAAACGCAACAACTGGGCTGCCTCCCCACCCAGCTCAGGAAGATGATGAGCTCGTGGCCTAGCATTGTGCGGTTGCGCCGAAAATTGTTGTCACCCTATTCGGGAGATCAAGTGGGGTTTCGGCGGCAGGGGAAGGAGAGGCAATACCGCGTACACAGTAACATGCGCGCCGGCAGTTGGATTCCCTTGCTACCTCGATGTTGCTTCAGGGTTGCAACAGGTCGACAGATCTACACCACGCGTTGCTATGAAAGGGTGAGGTGAACGGGCAGTGGTTGGCATCAGTGTGCTAGCGCCCGCATGCCCTGCCCTCGCCGCCACCTCGGACAACTTTGGCTCTTGCTCTGCAGGTTCCAGAGCCCTCAATATCAGCGCTTGCCCGAGAACCTTGATGCGCACCAGCATCAATAGTAGTAGTAGCAGCAGCAGGGGAAAGGGGTTCCGTCTGCCACATGTGACTGGATCTTGTATTACTTATAGCGCGTGCTTAGACCCTGGCCGCACCCCTTCCTCGGTATGTAGCCGAAGAAGATGATGAAAGGATTGGTAGTGGAGATGACTCCCGAGACTGATAGTAAGTAGAGGTGTTGTGTGTGTGTGTGTGTGTGGATATTGGACGCCGGTGTGACACCAGCTGTTGGACACTGGCGGTTTACTGCTGGCCAGCAGTTATGCTCTAACTGATCTATATAGGTCATGTAGACTGCACGTACGTGGATATGTCCGTGACAACTTTGCAGAGGGTATCACAAGGAAATGTCCAACAATGAGCCGGGCGAGGTATGGGACTCGAGATCAAGGAGAGGGGGAGGCGATGCCATGGAGGAGCAGACAAAGGGGTGCTTGGCCTGCCTGGTTGTTGCAAGGTTTCTTTGACCATGTGGTGTGGTCAATCGATTTGATGCGGTCGTTGTGGGTGACAGCGCAGTGGGTGGTCGGCTGAGATATCATGCTGTATGCTGTACAGGGCGACCTGGAAAAGATTATCCATGTCGCTATAACGCCCCACAAAGAATGTAACAGTCTTTAACCAATCACAGCTTATAATTTATCCTTTCCTTAATTAAACTTATACCATTATAATATATTTAGGATATAATGCTATAAAAAAGCTACCTTTTTCTCTCTTATTTTTACCTTAAAAAGCTGGTATTATTTTTATGGTAACGCACAGACAAGAAAGGAAAGTCAAGGGACCCTTCGCCAACGCCACGGAAGTCACGAATTAGGCTTCTTTGTCAGGTTTCCCTGTACGCCGCACGTAGTACTGTGGTGTGCTGTTTGGAAACAACGGAATACATACCTAGGCACCTGGTAGTCTGCATGCTTAGACCCTAGGTACCGTTGCGTCTACACGGGATACGTCGTACCGCCCTGGGTTCCGTGCTCCGTGCGCCATGCGGCTGCCCCTGGCCCATCCAGCCATCCCAGCTCTGTGCTTGCTTTTCTTCACCCTTGGCACCTCGTGCTCTTCAGGGGCCCCTCGCCACCCCTGACCATGACCTGGCCAGACCAGACCTCTGCTTGCAGCTGCTGAACCTTGAGCGCCGGTCCAGCCTCCCAGTCTCACAGCCAGCCCGACCAGCCCGGTTCAGGAGACTGGCTGCAGGACAGTGCAGGTCCAGCAAGGTGCAGATTGCACCTGCAGGTTGCGGGTGCGTAGTAGCCTCATCCCGGGAGGCGCCGTTTCTCAAACAGCGGGCACTTGACCGATGTGATGTGAGGGACGGCGGGGATGGGAAGCAGGCGGACAGAGAGAAGATGAAAGGGACACTAGTAGGCACCCAGGTAGAGAAAGAAAGAAAGAGAGAAAGAAAGAAAGAGGGAAAGAAAGAAAGCCGGGGACGACAGCACCAGCGGAAAATAGAAATGAGCCGCTGAGCCAGAGACGAGAAAGGACAAAAGGGAGGACAAGCCTCCTCTTTCCTTGTGGCCCCGCCCCTCCCCCACCCCCCACGACGACTGCGAGGATCGCTTTTTTACCTGATTGCCTCGTGCGCCTGGTCGTTGCAACGCCGCATTCCTCCTCGCCCTTCCCCTCCTCCATGACCCGCCAGCACCGCACCTATACATCAGAGAACCCACACCTACTGTGACCTCCCTCCAGCCAACCCAACCCACCCTACAGTAGTCTACCTGTACTAGGTGATTTTGAATGACTGAGGCGAGCAAGATAGCACAACCCAGTCCAACACACACGGTAGTGCCAAGGTTCAGGACGCGGGCCAAATCCACCAGTTTCGCAGTCCACCCGTGACCACTCGACGAGTGCCCATCGTTGTACCGCACACCCGAGCTGCCCGCTGATCCTGCGCTGCTCACCAAGTCCGCAGCTCAACCATACCATCTCCCCGTCAGCCTGGCCCGTCCCATCGCCTGCTTGACTTGGGCGTCTGTCCACCCCACGCTCTCGGCCTCCTTCCTTTCCCCCCTCATCCCACACTCCAGCACCTGCGCGCTGCGAGCTCAACAGTGCGGGAGTCGTGGCTCCGCCTCGAGGAACCAGAGGGACCAAGGCAGAGACCATTGGGGAGGACTTCGTCCTGTCCCAGCACCGGGCCTGGGTGCCGACACTCTCCGGAGTAGCTGACTATATCCATCGTCTGCTAAGCGCCTGCCTCGGCCAGGCGCTGCGATACGGTCCAACGTGCCGCAGCCTGAGGGCAGGCCTGAGACCCAGCCGCCATCCCGATCCAAGGCATCCGGAACCCACTGCCCAGAGGAGGGGGCCGTTCCTATTGCTGACCTGACCTGACTATTGCTTGGGGGGGGGGAGCGACAGTCAGGCCTATCTCCAGAGCCTGCCTGTGCTGGATGTATGTACTGCGTGCAGCATCAGCATCAGCATCAGCGGCAGCAGCATCAGCAGCAGCAGCAGCAGGGCCAGCCCACCAGTCCCCGTCCCGTCCCTTACGGAAGTCTCCGTCTGTGCGCGCCCCACTGCTACGGACTTCCTGACTTCCCAACGTCGCACGCGCCAGGCCAAGCTCGACCTATCCGTCGACTTCTGGGGCAATCTCCGACCAACCTTTCCCAATCCCTTTCAGCCTTTTCCGCCCCACGACACTCTCGAAAGCCTGTTGACGACCGTCGGCGCTCTTTCTGGAAGCCATTTTCGAGGCAAATTGAAATTGAAATCTGCAGCGCAGGGCCCAGGGGTCTTCGCCCTGTGCCGAGAAAGGTACACTCCCGACCTGTCACCCACTGTCAGTTTGCGCCCTAGCACCTTGTCACCTTGTGCCCCTTCCCCCCCAGAGTCCATCCATCCATCGTCGTCCTCATCTCAGCATTCGCGGCATGCTCTCTCTGCCCGCCATGAAGCTTGTTTGCTCCGGGGCCGTCGCTGTGCGCGCCTCGAGGCCGGCTCCAGGACTGCCATGTTGACGAGGGGAAGTCATACTCTCGCCCCCCCTCCCCGTCCGACTCGAGCTTCGACCCGTTCGTCCATCGCCCCATACTTGGCCTTGGACCCATCATCGTCATCCTCTTCCTCCTCGTGTTACCCCCCCCCCTTCTCCCCTGAATCCCACGCCTCCCATATTCCGCTACGTCCATATACGTACCCCAGAGCTACCTGTTCTGTAGACCACCTTGCACCTGAGATCGTCCCGAGCTCCCGTTTCCCCTCCCAAGTGGTAGACCGTCGTTCGCCCACTTGGGTATAATCCTAGTCGCAGCACGCGTGGGTCCCACCGCCGTGGGTCGCTTCGCTCCTCGACTCATCTGGGATACATGACCGCCCCTGTCGCCCCAAATAAAGCCCCTGTTCACCGTGCTGCTTCCAGAAGTCTTTTCCATTGCCGTTCTCTGTCCATCGCGCCCCTTTTGTGGCGGTCTGCTGTCTGTCTGTCATTACCGTTGTCCCTCTTCACATGGTCATCCATGACATTCCTAATTCCTTTTCCCTCCGCGGCCATGGTCTAAGACTCTCACCCTCCGCATCCGTACCACCGCACCCAAGCTTCACTAGCCCTCTCCGTCCCGCCCGGTGATCAGTCCCCAGTCTGTTGCGGGCATAGAGATCGGCGACGCCCGTGTGGGCGGGTGTAGCGAGTCGGCGTGTCGACGATCGACGGCGGTAGCCGAGCTGACGACGATGAGCAATGCAGGTCACCAGTACCAAGGAAGTCAAGGAGGCGACATCTCCCGCTTCTCCGACTCTGAGAGCGAGATTGACGAGCTCCGAATCCGAGATCGACCGCCGCCCACGCCGTCAAACAAGTCCCCCTCGGACATCCTGACCAGCTTCTCGCGTGGCTTCGCTAAGCTAAAGCGACAGCCCTCTCAATTGGTTCTGAAGCACAACAGGGAACAGTCAGCGCCGACTCCGGAGCCAGGAACATCTTCTGCGCCCATCAGTGCCTCGAGCCGATCGCCCGCGCCGCCGATTCATCAGCATGCCCGCAGTCTAAGCTTCCAGAACAGCCTCTCGAAGCCTCTTCCAGAGCCTCCACCACCGAGCCCGGGCACGCCCGTAGCGCCGCAACTCTCTCACCCTCAATCCCCTCAACCTCGCTCCCCTCAAGGGCCCGCCCAGGCTCCCCAGGGCTCTCCGGCCCCCCAAGGTTCCCCAGCCCCTTCGGCCCCACATCACCAGCATCAGAGCAGTCTTGCCACAATCCTCGACACCAACGACTACAACGACCCAGACCCAGCGAGCGAACCAGAGACGGACAGCCGGACGAGTACCATGGACTCCAGCAGCTCAGAGGCACACAATTACATGGCGGGAGCGGGCGGTAGGCAGAACGGCGGAGAGGAGTCGCAGAAGGACTCCCTGACTCCAAAGAGCGTTGGTCCAAGTTCTGCAGGGCCGTCGCCCAATGTTAACCAGGCAAGAACACCCGCCATGGGCGCTGGATCATCGCCAGCGTCGGGTCTGCTGTGCAACGTGCACAGGACAACCGGCCGGGAGCCGCATCCCTTGGTGGGCGCAACCACCACAATAGTCGGGGACAAGCTGTACGTGTTCGGCGGGAGGATTCTGTCTAGGAGCCGGCCTACGCCGCTCACTTCGGACTTGTACGAGCTCGATCTTATCCGGCGGCATTGGACAAAACTCGACACATCGGGAGATATCCCCCCTCCGCGATACTTCCACTCCATGTGTGCACTTGGCGACACAAAGATGGTTTGTTATGGTGGCATGTCGCCAGCTCAAACATCCCCGGGAGCCGTCGATGGCCAAGGCGACGTTACCGTCATGTCCGATATCTACATATACGACGTTTCGACGAGAAAGTGGACATTCATACCGACCTCGGACGCACCGCAGGGCCGCTACGCTCACTGCGCTTGTGTTCTACCATCATCGGCCACGTTTGCATCTTACAAGGCCCCGCTGTCGGCGCTCCAACACAACCCGTCGACCGGCACCAACGAGGGTCGCATTGGGATCAACATCGATGGAACAGGCGGCGCAGAAATGGTCGTAGTCGGAGGCCAGGACGGCGCGAACCACTATATTGAGCAGATAAGCGTCTTCAATCTTCGGTCCTTGAAATGGACATCGACACAACCCCTGGGTAAATCGTGTGGCGCCTACAGGAGCGTCTGCGCGCCGCTGCCTCCTGCCGTGACTGCAAAGATCGGCAAGGCGAACACCAACGGGACGCAGCGGTCAGAAAGTGGCATCAGTCAGGAAGCCCGGGAGCCGGGCTCTTCGATGCTAATCTATTCCAACTATAATTTTCTCGACGTCAAGCTTGAGTTGCAAGTGCGGTCGAGCGACGGGACGCTCAGCGAGAAGCCCATGTCCAACGCGTATTCGCCACCTGGGCTCAGGTTTCCCAACGGTGGAGTCATCGACACCTACTTTGTGGTCAGCGGCACATACCTCACATCTTCAAAACAGGAATACGCGCTCTGGGCCCTGGACCTACGGAATTTGCAATGGATGCGGATCGACGCAGGCGGAAACGTGTTCAAAGAAGGCAGTTGGAACCGCGGTGTGCTGTGGAATCGCCGCAACACGTTTGTGATTCTGGGCCATCGGAAACGGAGTTTGGTTGACGATTACAACCATCGCCGGATCAACTTCACCAACGTGTGCATGGTCGAGCTGGAGGCCTTTGGCTTCTATGACAACCCGCGCAAAGTTAGCCCGATGTCTGGCTTTATCTCGGCAAGCGGCCCCTACACCGGCCCTGGTTTGAGCCTGGCACGGAAAGCGGGAGCCACCGCCGGAGGTCGGTTTCACTCGAGGGCGAGTGAGGAGCTGGGTGAGAAAGCGTTGGCTATACGCGAGCTGGCAGACATGGACATCCTTTGTATAGGAGGCGAGAGGATACCGATCAACTCGAGGATAATAGCGCGACGGTGGGGGCCGTACTTTGTGCAATTGCTGAGGGAGGGCACCGCGATGCAGGACGGGAGCGATTCGGTGACGCTAAGATCAGTAGGCGCTTCGGGAGGTGGTGTGCGGAGCTCCATGATGACCATCACACCTGCGACGCGGACCATGTCGCGAGACACAGACATGTCTACGGCCACCACGTTGGCAGGCTCATCGTCAGGCGGCAGCTTCTCAGGTCCTTCAGGCATGGGGCCGTCCGGCGCCACCCCCAGCCAGGAAACGGCCAATCCAAATGCCGCACCTACACCTCGCACAATGCCTCCAAACTCACGCCCTCGCTGCCTCTATCTTCCACACACCTACCTTACCGTCCAGGCTCTGCTTCACTATCTCTACACGAGTAGCCTCCCGGCGCCGAGCTCGCCGCTCTGCACTCCTCAGATACTCTGTTCGTTGCTTCAAATCTCCCGGCCCTATCGCATCGATGGCCTTCTGGAGGCCATTGTCGATCGTCTTCATACGCTCTTCGAGAATCGTAATGCGGCAGCCATTTTCAACGCCACTGCAATGGCAGCGGGTGGCGGGCGCGGCATCGACGGCACGCTCAACCCGAACTACTTCATCGTGAGTGGCCTCGACTCCGCGGGGAACGACTCCACCACACTCCAGGGTGCCTCGAACGGCACCTCGGGAGAAGACGGGTACGCGAATGGTGGAGCTGGGAACAGAGCCACTGCATTGCGCATCAACACCTCTGTCCCTGGCCAAACTGGACGGCCGCCGTCCGATGAGCTCTCGGCAACGACGAGCGTCAGTGGGAGTGAATGGAGTGCCAGCGAGATAAGTGATTCCGAGCGGCGGGGCAGATATCGCGAGGTGTGGAGCGGTGAGTTTAGCAGTGTCATCGGACTTCAGAAGCGTGGACTCAGGGGCCTTATGGAGGGCCGTAAGTTGAGAGAAAGAACGGGCACCGCCACAGGGGCAAACCCAGTCGGCAGCAGGGTCGGACTGGGCATTGCGGGCGGTGGGGGTTGAGGAGAAGCTGGGAGTCGTTGTCCACGGTGACATTGCACCAGAGGTTTTGCATCCTACCTCCTGCCCCAGCGCCTCTTGTACCGTCCAGGCAGGCACATAAGAGAGACAGGATGATGTACTACTGTTGACGACTAGTTCTCCCAAAGAACTTGAGGTAGTCCGTTTCACCTTTGGGACTGTGGCCACGGGGAACACGGGGCCTGTTGACGGTCATCGGGCGGAAGGGGGAAGGGGCAACTCCGAAGGACACGGGTGAGGAGGTGGAACACGTCACGAGGACACGGTATGGAAAGGGACGACGAGGGAAAATAATAAACGAAGCGGGCACCGGTCGTCCGATCGCTGCCCCAGGATCTCACGAGATTCCTTACGGCCGAGGTATTGCATGTGTAGCAGCATTGCCCATCTGGCGTTGGCTAGCAAATGCTAGGGACAGGGACTCAAATTGTAGTCTTTACTTTTCAAAAAGTCAGCTCTGCTGCACACCTAGGCGTCCTACCCCAAGCTGAGTGGGTTTGATTTTCTTCTTGTTCCTCTCCATTCTGAGGTGTTCTGCGGAACGGGTGACAAAAGAGGGCCTGAACAGTGGAATGACAGCTGTTTGCCTTCCTTCAATTTGGCCTCACCTTGGACTCAAGCTGGCCGTGTACCCAACTCAGAAGACTGTGAACACTCGCTTCTCCCATCTACTGATCGCTCCAGGAAGTACCTTCCTCAGGTTTCTCTGACTGCTTATGCTCTTCAAGGAGAAGCAGCGGGCGCGTCAAGCCTACGATAGCGCAGTCAGTCGTGGGCAGACCGCTGGTCTCCTCGAACAGCTGCCCAGTGCCAGCCATGTCTTCAATACCACCATCGGCAACGTCCCCGGCGGCGCAACCGTCAGAGTCGAGATGACCTTGCTTGGTGAGCTGAAGCACGATGCTGAGATTGACGGCATCCGGTTTACGATCCCCACGCCTGTCTGTCCTCGCTACGGAGCCTACCCTGGCGAGCTGGTGCAGAGCCCTACCAACGTGTGCGAGAAGGCCGGTCTCGAGATCACTGTTGATGTCGAAATGCCAGGGGGAGGCGCGCTGAAGACCCTCCGGTCTCCGAGCTATCCCATCGCCGTGACAGAGGGTTCAACCTCTCGATCCACCCAGCCAGCACAACCCTCCTTGCAGTTCGGTCCCGCCTCCCTCTCACTCGGGACGGCCGGGCTCGACAGGATTTTGTCCTCGAGGTATTGCCCAACGAAATCCCCCACCCTGTTGCCATACTTGAAACGCACCCTACTATCCCAGGCCAGCGCGCTCTCTTGGCAACCTTGGTCCCGAGATTCAGTCCCGCCTCCTGTCGTCCCGAGATCGTCTTCATTTGCGACCGTTCAGGATCCATGCGTGGCTGCAAGATCGACGACCTGAGATCAGCCATGCAACTTTTCCTCAAGTCCCTCCCTGTCGGCGTCAAGTTCAATGTCTGCAGTCTTGGGACCGCGTACACTCCCCTCTTTCCAGAGGGGTCGATGCCATATGATCAAACGACCTTGGATGAAGCTGTGCGCCATGTTCAGGGCTTCAAGGCTGATCTGCGTGGCACGAACATCATACGCCCCGTCGAGGCTGTCTTCAAGAAGAGGTACACCGACATGAACCTCGAGGTATTTGTGCTGACCGATGGGGACATATGGGATCAACAAGGACTATTTGATGTCGTAAACAGGGAGGTTCAGGCGAACGACGGCGCGATCCGCTTGTTCAGTCTTGGTGTTGGCCGGAGCGTAAGCCATAGTCTGGTTGAGGGCCTCGCGAGGGCAGGGTGCGGTTTTGCACAGATTGTCGGTGAAAACGAGAGGATGTATCGCAGGGTTGTGAGAATGCTGAAGAACGCCCTGACACCTCATGTCAGCAACTACACGATCTCAGTCAAGTATGCAAAGGGACAGGTGTCATGCCTCGAAGGCGATGATGGCTTCGATCTGGTCGATCACATGGTTGCTGCTAAGGCTGCCTCTGGTTCAGTAGCTAGACTAATGTGGCGGAAATCCAGCCACGCGAGCAGGAGGATGTCCAGAATGATCCCATTTGCCTCTTCTACCCCGCCGTCGATCCAGACGACGCATTGGGCTCAGCAATCCCGGACAGATCCGCCGGCACCCCGGCCGTTTCACCGCCGAAAATCCTCTAGACGCCCTTCCAGATCCCGCCTCTGTTTCCCTTCAACCGCCCCAGCATGTACCTGCTCTTCTCGTCCCAGACAGAACGCGTTCCACAATCCATCGTACTACATGGGAGTCAACCCAGGCACGGGAAACCCGAATTGGACATCCCCATATCCACCCACACGACCGGCGAGACTATCCACCAGCTGGCTGCACGAAAGGCAGTTCAGGAGCTTGAGAAGGGACGAGGCTGGCTGGCTCTATGACGACAGTCTCGGGCTCAAGAAGTACCCAGGTCACTTTACCGATCTGATCCAGCGCGAGGCCGTCCGCCTAGGCGTCCAGTTCCAGATCGGCGGCAAGTGGTGCTCCTTTGTTGCTGTGGAAACGAACCGTGATGATGATGACATGAGCCTTTGTGCAGAAGGCCGAGGCACAGGAGTCGCGAGAGATGCAAAGGCCAGGTGAGTTGCTCTCAAACTGTCTTGTGCACCCAGCGTTGGCGCCTTAACCCACACGTGAAAGCTGGATGGGAATTTCAGATGGATATTTACTGATTCTATCGCAAGTTGCCCCGGGACCAAACACAGATTTCTGCGGAATGAGAACCTCTTCCTTTGCACTTCTGCCAGCTGCTCGTTCAGGGATGATGAGCCTAGCACCTTCTATACCTACATACTATTCCATAGTAAGTTGGACCATGGCAAAAAGAGCCAGAAATCATCATACTATAAATAATGACTCTTCTGGCAAAGAGCATAACTGACATATCTAGGGCACACTCTACACGGTATCGAAGACGAAGAACCCAGATGGATACGGAGTCGGGAATGCAAGAATCCGAGGCAGATGAATTGGTGTTCGATCAGGGAGAGGAACCTATCCGGAGATGCGGTCTCTCTCCCACATCCGAAACAAGTTCTCTAGATCTCTCAGGCGACCCAGACGCCATCTCACCGACTCACAGCTCCCCGCTTCATGATGTCACCCTCCTGCAGACCTTCATCCGTTCTTGGGCCTTGAATCCTGAGTTTCTAGGTGCACTTGGCCTCGACAAGAGTCCGCTCGATGATCTCGGCTTGGAATCGAACACGCGTTTTGCCGAGGCAGTCGGCTTTGCTGGCCTCTGCAGCAATCTCGACGGCGTGGCTACGATCCTGGCTCTCGCCTTTCTGCGCCTGAAGGGCCCCGCAGAGAGAGATGTCTGGGATTTGGTTGCGGACAAAGCTATGGCGTGGTTGAATGGACAAGTGACACAGCACGGAGACGGCTTGGAGAGGGTTGAGAAGGCTATTGAGGCTGCCGAGGGACTATTCTGAATGGTGGCTATCTCAGACGGGTGAGCATGTGGTTTCTATCTCTCAGAGATTGCTAGGCATCTGAATATTACGGCTGCGATGCTTTTGTGACGCGCGCAAACATCTAGTTGATGTGAAGATGATGTTTCCTCTTAAGTATCGCAACAATACGCGGCCAGTAACTTAACTGGTGGGTGGCAGGCTTGAATGTTTCTCAATACCGTGCCTCACGTGTTTACACGGGCGATGGGGGGCCAGGGGACCATCACTCGTGCAGAGAATTGGCCAAGGGTAGCTAGGACTCCGTCTATCGCAGTAGTGATTGCGCTGTACAAGACTTCAATGTGAATGGGCTCGTAGATATGCACGCAGTGAAGCTATATTACTGTGGCAGCCTGGCTCTGAGACGCCGCCTAATTGCACAGGGACCTTGGTCTCACAAACCTCTGCTCTGCAAATAGGTTTCCCAAGAGTCCATTCGGACATTGTTATAGTTGATGTGATGTCTATGTTATGAGTCATCTTATCTGTGACTCATGCTGGGCCCCTGCCATCAAAGAATACCTCGTCAAGAACTGGCCACGATAAAATTTAGCATGTGTCAAAGCAGCGGAGCTCACAGGCCTTGAGACACAGTGTCCCGCAAAGTCCTGAGTTTGAGCATGATGGTGGTGAATTGAGGGAGGGTGTGAGAAGGAGAGAAAATACATCGAGATTCACTTACGAGTGTAAAGAACTTGCTGACCGGCCCACTGCTCCCCGGCAGCGCCTCTGATACGTTCGGGTGGTAGTATAAAGCCAGAGTCTCCAGCATCAGGCAGCTCGATAGTGTAAGAGAATTCAGCACCCCCGACAGCATAGACATGGTCAGGAGCGGCACCAGTCGTGGTATAGAGAGTAGCACCACTGGGGCCAAAAGTGAAGGTCGTGCGTCTGTCGGAACTATTACGGATTGTTTGACTCAGAAGCGAGGCAGTCTTGGTCCACTTCCCGAGCTCTGGCGCATACCACTCTTCCTTTGAGCCAAAAGGCGACAGGATGTGTTGACCGTAACTGTGCCAGTCGATGTATAACTTGATGCCGACGCTGTCGCGGAGCTTGCGCACGTATGGGTGGAGGCCTTGATTTTCGATTGTGTCTGACGGCTTCTGGCCCCTGTAGGCCTGCGCGCAGGCGTTGGTTGAGGCGCCGAATGGATTCGCGTCCCACCCGTATTCCCAATTCCTATTAATGTCTGTACCGAAGCAGGATTGGTTTTGAGGTGGCGGCGGCGGCGGAGGAGTACGTGTCTTGCGCCAGAGGCGATCAACCGTTTGGGAGTGCACGAAACCTTGAAGATGATAAGTCGAAGCACAATCAACGGCCATAGGATAACTGACCATCGGGGTTTACGATAGGGAAGATGTAAAAGCCATAGAGGTTGAGAATGGATTGCGTGGTGTTGGTTTTATGGGCCGTGGTCAGCTGTAGGGTCAGATATTCGACAACCTGCATTTTTCAGCTTGTCCTTCCAGCCTGGGAAAAACTGTGAGGTTGGAAGACGCACCGGAGCCGTGATCCATTCTCGAGCGTGTACAGTTCCGTGATACAAGACCGCTGGTTTTCCAGGCCCGTCGTCTCCAAAGAGGTGGATTCCATGAATGGAACGGTTCTCATGAGAATGGCCAGGAGAGATCAGCTCTGAATTGGCGGGGAAAGCTTCGTGAAGATCGCTGAAGTACTGGACATGATCTGCATATGGATGATATGAGTCGTACCAAGACAGGTCATTCACGTCGCGCCGGTATTTGGTCTCGACCTGAGCTTCAGCAGTGATCGATTCTCCAAGATCCTCATGCAGAGTGCGGTTGTCAAGGCCGAGAGACTGGAGCCTCTCGATTTGGTCAGGAGCAACGACGATGTCGGTGTGGCTGTCGAGATCGTGGTTCCACTGCTCGAATGAGATGGTCGAAAGCTTCTTTTGAACGTCAGCTAGCTCAGTCAAGGTCTTTACACGAAGGACCTGGCATCCCGCATAGGAGACGAGGTCTCTATCAGGGTGAGCAGCGACCGCAGTCAGCAAAGTCAAGAGTGAATGAACGATGAGGCTCTTCATTGTGACGACATCAAACAAATAATCGAGCAAGGGGTGATGGCACTAGATCCTACAGCGCCGTACACGCACCCCAGGGCCGCTCAACCTTTTATAGGCCCAGAGCGTTACGGTACCCTCTGATTTTCATCAAGCGCCAGAAGATTGCACGATAATCGCGTGCCAAATCGGCCCTTTCGAGCACATCATGCTGCACTGCAAAGCACTTCAGCAGCAAGTTTTGCTGCTAATACCCTCCCCGATGATTTCCGCAGGCGCGTGTATGATGTGAAAAAAGTCGTACCTGCCGTTTCGAATCCAGCGGTTGCATGGCATTTCTTGACATTCCTTTTATGCTACCCCAAAACCGCAAGCTTCGTGATCTGTCTTGACAATGACGTTTGCACGCCACTGTTTCATCTCAGTTATTAAATTCTTCAGGTACCCGGAGTGCAGAAAACCACGATCGCTGATTTCTTACGAGAACCCGAGTCAAGGGAACAGCGTCCAGTCATACGTGTGTGCTCTGACAATTGCGAAGCAAGGTCACCCACGTCGAAGCAACTCTCAATGAAGCATTTGCCCAGCATGGAGGTGCACGTGTAGAGAGGTTCATCAAGACTGGAACCACCACAGAGAGCCAACGTAAAGTTCGACACCTGCATGCTCAATGTCCGTGCGTGATTGCCGCGTGGCATGGGGCCAGCAACCGTGGCTGCGGGATCCGATCTTTGAATTGGTCGTGAGGTTTTTCCGCATTCGGAAATGCCAGGACAGTGTCCACAGGTGACTGACCGGCTGGCCCGTTCCTGCCCCGAGCGCCTCCCACTCCCAGTGGATAATATTGATTGTGTGTTCTAGGCTACAGTACATGTAAACGCGTCTGCTTGACGGGTTCTGCTCACACATCTTCGACAATCTTGAACCCGAGGCACATCGACGATGGGGGCTTATGATGAAGAAGCAGAACCTCGACTCAAAGCAGCGCTGGGGATCGCGAGCCTGGTCCAGTCCCCGGTCCAGTCCCCGAGCTGTCAAAATCGACACTTCAAACTCAATTTGCCTGCCCGAGCTCCGCACAATCTCTCTCTTGCGATGCAGAAGGGCGTCAATCGGCCGGGATGTTGCAGTCGGCCTCCAGTCACTTGCCCCGAGCTCGAGTGTGCAGGTGCTCGGGCTCAAACTCTCGCTGTCATTACTCGGGCCTCTATACTGTGAACTCCTCGAGTCAGCCCGAGTTAAACTGGAAAGGTATCGATCGCTAAGAGGCGACCAAGCAGTAGCGGGGTAGGTTGGGCATGCTGCAATCCGGTTTCTTCGCACATGTTACCACGAGTCTCCCCACCGCCCTCTCCCTTTCCCCCACGCCCCGGCCTATATGCCGGATGTCTTGTGCTCGGAGGACGGTCCACACAAATAATAGCTATTATCACATCTGCGGGGACAGTACTCCGGTGCTCTAATACTTCCCAGCTATACATCGATGCGACCGACGATTCGAAACGCAATGCACGCATGATCATACTGGAACCTTGACAACGGATCAGGCATCGGAGAGGATGATTCAACGAGGCATTAGTCATTGGGGTCGGCCCTCTTTGCCAGACCGTGGAAAGCAACGAGTGTAATGTACTGATGGCAAGGTAACCAACTGACTTCAGCCCGCAGACGACGGCAATGAATATACCCCGAGCAAGAATCATGGTCTGGATGTGAGCATACCGCGGCAATACAAATGTAGATCGCTCCTATTCCAGCGACATTTGGCCGGCTCAGGACGCAGCCTGGCAGCCTGGCTAGACGGTGTCACAGCAGGGTGGCAAGGTAAGGCGTCCCGGAACGTCCAAACAACATCCCTGATCGACTTGTGGTGGAAGGGACTTCGGCGCACGGCACCGAAACTCTAACAGGACCCTGGTAATAAATGCGGGACCGAGAACAGTCTGAGCCCAAGGGCCATCCCCACGCCCAACGTGGTGCGCCCTTGCGGGCCCCAGATGAACTTCGGATCGCCGCTAGCGTGACAAGATAACAATGCCACTATCTTCTTGTCCTCGACGCACACGCAACCCGCACCGACGGCTCGCACTCTCGGACTCTCCACAAGACAGTCGCAACGGTAATTGTTGTCCTCTGTTGGACAAAAAAGGATATGGGTTGTGCTAGTGTGCAAAATAATGCGAAGCGAGGCAGCCGCTGTCTTCGTGAGGCAGACTGCACCGGAGCACTTGTCCCCATGTGGGATATATCTGATGCCTGAAGCAAAAGGCAAATCAGCTTTGCTTGCCCCAATCATAGTCTGCTTGCAATCAGAATGCCCAAGGACAGCCCTCGGGGGCTGAAATTGTCATCGTGGAAGCTTAATCTGCATGTCAGACCAGGGGACGTGGAAATCCCTTGGACTGTCCGTGAAAACTCGGCTGAAATAGGTCTGACACCAGTGATGGGCAATCCCATTATGGGCTTACCGGCTACACCCATGTCGTGAAGCAAGCGGGGCATGCTATAATATGTAAACCCCATCCTGAGGTAGAATGGAATCTTCAACGCTTGGCCGCGCTCGTTGACGACCCGGGCGATCAACCTGTGACCTCTCCGGAGGGCTGCACTTTTGCAGACTTGACAACGACCACAAGGAAGAGACGAGATCCAGTGCGCTCAGATCTGCTTGCCACTGCATGGGACCGGGGAGCTATCCATCCCCCCTGGGCAGGGCGAAGCCAAAGTGTTGCCAGATGTGAGATTTGGGGTATGATCTGGGGAGCCCCTGCTTGCTCATCATCACTATGCATGTGCACGGCCGGCGACCTGCGTTGGTATCCATGTCCTATATCACATTGCACACCTCGTTTGCCTTTTTCCGTGCAGGTCCCCACGAAACAAAGTTTCGGAGACCCTTCCGCTAGGAAAATAGCCCAGACGCCAACTGAAGCCCACTAGCCATGCCGCAATGCAACGCCGCAACGCCGTAGTGGGCGGGATATATCACGCGATGCCCTGCTGCTACAGGCGCATCGGAGAGCTGCCACGGACGCCGCAACGTAGCGGTCGAGCCCATGGTTCTGGGTCGTGATCTACACGTTTGCTGTCACAGACCAAGAGCCGCTTTGACCATCCCAACTTGTGAAGGTGGGCACACTGACCTGTTTTGCTGCCACCATATAACGATGCATCATCTGAACTATATATGTCTTGGGGGGGGGGGATGTCACCATTAACTCCCCGTCCCCCCAGTGAAGGCTTGTTCTTGAGCTTTTCGCGCCAACCCCTCCGCCGTGGTTCCTCCTGAATGGATGTCCTCGTGCATTCCTCCGCTCAAAAACTCTTGGTGACCTCTAAATATCGGCCTGCGCTGGAAGTCCCGACATGGCGACTCTCATTGACCTGATTGGAGCGGTGGACAACTTGGGAGAGGAGCCGCCAGTACTCAACCGACGAGCAGCGATATTGGGTATCACGATATCATTTCAGATTCTCACGTTGATATGCGTCATCTTCAGGTTATACACGCGCTTTTTTATCATGCGGTCTCCGTGGTGGGATGATCTGTTTGTGGCGCTGAGCTTGGTGAGTACGCAGCTGGACCCGATTCCCCCGTCACCGCACACGGCTGATTCCGTCTATAGGTCTCCGTGATGATTGGAAGCATAGCCATGTGTGTTATGACCACTACGGGCATGGGCCAACACCTATTGCTCTTGTCCGCGCATGAGTTTTCGGGATACTTGCGTGTATTGCGCCCCCCCCCCTTGTTCTCCCCCTGGGCTTTTTCCGTCTGCGGCTCTAGCTGAATAGCAACCTGTAACAGGCTTTTTGGATAGCTAATGCGACATACCCTGGCTCGACCGCCTTTATCAAGCTGGCACTGCTCTTCCAATACCTGCGAATATATGATAAAGGGTCAAAATTCTACATAGCCACAATCGCCACGATCGTCTTCACAAGTCTCTGGGGCCTATCCTATAGCATCATTGGTTGGGTCCCAACGGTGCCTGTCGCTGGGTTTTGGAATCTGGAGATGCCTGCCACGCGATACGGATATGGAAGTTTAGGAGTTCAGGCTTTCGTAGGGACATACGAGAGCCATGCCGCGATCAACATGCTTCTCGATGCTGTCGTTCTTGCTATTGCGGTACCCATGTTTTTCAAGCAGGGTATGAGGAAGAATTCCTATTGGGGGCTCTTGGGGTTGTTCGTTCTTGGTGGAGTGTAAATTTTCCAGCCCCTGGACCATTGAACTGTGTGGCTAACTTGCTCCCAGCGTTAACATGCTTTCTATCTGGCGACTACAAAGTATTGTCGAGACGCGTGCCGCGACATACCCTACCTTTGATCCGACTTTTTATGGCACCACACCAATAGTACTTTCGGCAATTGAGGTTGATCTAGCCGCCGTTTGTGCATCTCTCCCGGTCTTCTGGCCCGTCATTGAGAAGAGCATCGGATCGGTCATTATTGTCACCCACGAGGTGAAGATCACGCGCGAACAACGACCGGGCGGCGATGGAAGCACGCAAGCCGGCAATGACAATGTGGAGCTGCGCCGACAGCATTCGGAAGAAGTGTTGTTGGAGGACGGCGACGCCTTACCAATACAGACGAATAGGTTCTCATTTGGGAGTGGTGACTACTACCGAAACTCTTTTACTTCTAAGCAGCAAAAGGGTACAGTTGCGCCATTAGGGAGGGTCACGTCAACACGGGTGCAGTGCAAGGCCACCGACGAAAGTGTTTCATGAGTTTTGGCGAATGCAACGAGGGATTTTGGGTTCAGCCGATGGAATAGTACGCTGGAATTTGTTACCAGTGGCGCGCGAATTCGCTGAGGGATGGTGTAGATCTGAGGCGAGAACTGCATGATAGAGTGGCCTCCGCGCAGAGAAATGAAACACGTCAACAAGCAAACGTCTTCCAATTTAACCAATGTATTCGGAAAATGCAAAGTGATCTAGAAACGGCAACTGTGTGGTGGTGATGTTGGACTCGATGTTTGCGACTTGTATCAAGAGGGTTCTCTTAGGACGGCATGGAGTACCTTTCTAAATTAGTTAGTAGTCGGAGAACTTCGGACAATTAAAAGATGTTCAATGGGTTTGAACTCCAGCATCAGTCTAAGAAATTTCCATCTCTACATGTGCAAGAGCCGCGGTTCATCTTCAACGCTCAGCGTGGATTGTAATGCATGTGAAGACCGAAATTCACAACACTATTTCGCGGTGAAAAAGGAAAGACAGGCGTATATATTATGCATGACCTCCAACCCCCCATGAGTGGATTAATATGGAAAATTGAGCAACTTAAAGGATCTCGCCGGACTTCCTCCGGGGGGATTCAAGGCATCTCATATATGGAATGCCTTCCTAACCAGCTTGCCGTTGGCTTCAAACCGGGTGACCTTGCCAACGGGGACTCAATATCCGACCGATAAGTTGCTACTCTCCGGCCATCTGGGTCCTGGACCCTCAGCGAGTCTTGGCTGTAGTAGCTCCGGCTGTCCATGCTTGGGACATCTAAACTTGACCCTTCCTGCCAGCCCATCTCACGCAGGTATTCACTCACGGGCGATGGTCCCTCCATCTCTGGATGCAGACGTGTACTTGGTTTTGTCGAAACCGAGAGCCGCATCGCCGACGTTCCCTTTCCCGCGGGCTCTGACCTAGGGCCGCCTCTGGTGTGGCTCATCGACGAGCTCGCGCATGCCCTTGTTCCCGGCCCTGTGCTCGGATTAAGCCCACCTCCTGAACCGGTGTTCCCTTTCGGAGCTTGCAATGCTTTCACGTGCTCTCGCCACCTCTCCTCTTGCTTTTTGTACACGCGTCGCCGCGCAATGATGAAGACTGTCATGGCTACCAGCCCTGCGCCAGCAAGAGACAAGCCAACCCCTACAGCGACAATGGCACCGCGACTCAGCCGCTGGCTGTACTCTGCAGACTCGGCGTTGGAGCCATCTGAGAAGTTGGAACCGGAGAGAGAATCTGCCGCCGCAGACGCCGCAGGTCTTTGTACAGCTGCGCTGCTACTTGCTGATACTGTCGGTTCGGCGACCAATTCTGCCGGCCCACTGGAAAGTTGCAATGGCGGGTTATCCGTGGCAACGAGCAAAACGTCTTCATTACCTCCGAAAGTGACTGTCATATCCTTGGCCCCAGTGCCGTCTGAATCGGCCATTTCCAGTATCGTAGTGACCGCTGAAGGAGAGATTGACGTGGATGATGTTGAAGAAGGCTGTGCCGTGGGTGCCGCCAATGCCGCGACAATTGGAGGAGATATTTCTGAAGCCTTGCTGAAGGGAGTGGGAAGGGAAATCGGAGGTGTCCCTATCTTAGGAACCGGGCTGATGTTCACAGCGCCCAACTTATCGCCCTGGTTGTTGTGCATATTGGTCGGCAGGTAGGAAAGCCGGAAGAGGGTAGCTGAATTCGCACAGCATTCTGAATCCTCGCCATCGGATCCGCAGCAGAATACGGCCCTCGCTCCAGAGCCCTCAGCGCTGCACTGCCTGATGGGCATATCGTTCTTTGCTCGGGTGCTTGAGGAGCCCGTTCCATTCAATTGGAAGCTTTCATCATCTGCTATCACAACATTGTCAGTACCGCTTATTTGAAAATGCATCTTCTCAGGGAAAATTTGCTCGCACTTCTGATACAATATGTCGGACATATTGGATTTAACCATGTCATATCAGTGCATGTCGCTCTTGTAAATCTTTTTGCTGCTGACGTTGAGTTCGCCGTCGTGTCTCTACAGAGCCCAGACGGAAGGCAGGCACCTGTGGTGCTGCAGCACATGCTGATTTCCACGTTAGGGTTGCATGGTACGTCGTTGCTCTGCTCTCCACTAGGCAAGAAACAAGAACCTGTCGCCCATGTCGTCGAGGCAAGACATAGCGCTGCTAGTGTAGCTGGTGGGGAGAGGAAAACCATAACGAGGGACGATCTATATCGCGACGCCACTGCAGTCGTAATATGAAACTAGCATCTGACCCAGGCCCGCCGAGGGCCGAGGAAAAGGAGTGTAGATGAACTTGTCAAATTTATGACCACTAGAAAGAGTAAGGTCGTTCTGAAATGTGGTTCTCAAGGGCAGTCAGGGACGTTTCTGAGCATCGGCGGGTAAACGGTGCTTGGTATCACAATGAAGGCGCATGAACGAGGCAAAAGAAGATCATCTCCGTTTGCGAAAGAACAGAGAGCTTGGACTGCCTTCAGTATGGGGAAAGGTTGGATCTGGGGGATTGTCCCATTCCAGCCGCGCCTCATGACTGGCGGACGGGCGAATTGAGTCCGGATGGCCCCGTAGCTCGGCTCTTCAAGTAAGACGTGTGAAGGGTTTCAGGGGAAGATAGAGCTGACCTTACATGTCGACTGGTAGCCCCAGTTAATTTCTCGTAGTCGTCAAACGTGCCTGACGTCGTAACCTGTGATGTCCAATAAGGTTTATTGCAAGGACGGCGCCAGTTGATTGCTTTAGATGCCAATGTCAACACTGCGTTCAGTTCGATGAAGAGATGGGAATACACCTTCAAGGCTTGCAACGTCGTGCTCTCGCATGAAGCGTGATAGCTGACTGTTTCGGGCACTCCGCAAAGACTCCACTGGTGATGACCTCACGCTTACACCGATACTGCGTGCTATCATTCTAGCATTGTCGTATATATTTAAAATGACAATTACATCTTCTAGAGGCCTTTTGCTTGAGTTGTGTATCGCATGATCCACCCTGGCATCATCGGTGCACACCTGTATAGATCTGGCCGTGACGCTGTGCGACATCCTCCGACGGCCATTTACAAAACCCACATCTTGCGGCGTTTCATCAAATTCAAGGGTTTCGGAAATTGTGAAAACGGTTCTGACTCGCTTCAGACGAATGACCGGGTTCGCCAGTGAGGTGGGTCATTGCTCGGGATTAGATATTCTTCCTTTCCGGAAGCGGAACATGATTAATGTCAAAGGGTTTTCAATTTACCAGCACCTCAGCATTGGGCTCTTGGAGCCCAATCGGTCTCTTTACCGGTCGTTCTGCAGTGTTACGAGGCTGTCAAAATGAACGCACAAAAAGTTCTTGGAGTCCGTGACTGCAGGGAAAGTACTCCGATTCGGCAATTGGATTTCTTCATGCGACAACACGAGTAGGGGAGTCTTGGATGTAGACCAGTTTTGGGGGTACGCTGGTCCATTCAACGCATAATTAAATCGAGAAAATAAAGGCCGTCGGGAAAAGACTGGACTCTGCCCCTCGTAAAATAGCATAGAAGACGAAATGGATGGCTATATCCTCAAGGGCAACGTGCAGTCGGACACACTCGCTTTGGCCGGCCAATGGCGAGATATTAGCCCAAGTTTTTGGAAGAGTCCATCGTGCCGTTGTGAATGGCATATTGTGGTTCATGGGACCAGGAAATTGATTCAATTTGACCTCAATGGTTTTCCAGCAACGCTCCTAGGAAAGCCTTTGGACCCAGAAAGAAAGCATTCGTACCATTCGACTCAAGTGGCTATGGTTATCGGTTGTCATTTCGACAAAAGGCTCAGGGAGGATCCGAATGCTGTACCACATACTTTCTGAGGCACACTATTACAGAGTCTGGTGCATAAACAGATTGTCAAAGGAGTCGTGGGTCAAGTCTGGCTTCCGTGAAGAAATATAGGTGTCAACAACGCACATCTAGAAGCAATCGCTTCTGCCTCGGAGCATAATCTCAACAGCTCCAAGGACAGGAACACACACAAGGCGTTACCAGCCCTCTCGTACCACTCAAAAAGAATACCAATAAGCCACAACTGCTTATCTGAAGATTTGAAATGGGTACTGACAAGCGACTGTTGCTGAATCCACTGGTCTGTTCCAGCGAAGTCTATGATCGGCCGGACCAGTAGATTCTGTGTGGTTTGGAAGATTCAGAGTACCTGGAACGACCGAAGTGCGAGTTCCTGAAGCCTTGTGTTCGGTTCGATGCGAACAGCATAGGTCACCGGTTGGGGGAACCAAGTATGGAAGTGATTATTCATTTGCGGGCCACTAAAATTTGACACGTTGGATATACAACAGTCCAAAAGGAGAACAGACAGCGCTACGGTAAGGTATATTGTAAGCTTTATAAGTATAATAGATTGTCTATAATCTCATCGGGCATGAATATCACCTTCACAGCCTGGATATGTAATTCCTACCCAGCCATATGCCGCCGACACCTGCATGTCACTCACATATTCACTGACATCAGTAGGCAGGTTGCCCCAAATGAGCGTACGCGTTTCATCATCACCTGTTCTAAAGCCCTATCCGATTGCTCATTCTTGGCTTCGCCAATTCACGACGGGTGATTAGTGAGTTGTGGCAGACACCAGGGGTGGAGTGCAAGGCGTAGATGAGTCAACTTGCTACGGCGAATCAAGTAACGCAAATTGCTCTCCTACCCAGGGGTTTGAGCTTTGAATATAAGAGATGGCGTCAAGTATGGACACAGAAGCGCCCCCATGCATATCTCTAACTCCTGTGCGGTCTTCCTCTCTTTGCCGCTGCGCTTAGGGGCCACGTACGTGTAGAATTATGAACCACGCTTTGACTAATTTTGTGCTGCTTGAGCTGCCAATACGGTTGACTGAACCAATGAATTTTACTTTCACCTCAAAGCAATGGCTGCAAATATCAAGTCGTTGCAGCCGTTCATCCGCATGAAGGCATCCCTGTATTGGGAATTGCGTTGCTAAAAGTCAGATTGTCTTGATGATCCCGTCATTCATAAATACTCCGGAACTTTGTATAAAGCCATTTGGAAGATAACGCAACCGTTAGCATCAAACCAGCGCCTGAACTCTCCCAATCGCCTTCTTTGCGAAATAGAGAACTGTCTGACTCAGAAACAGCATCCTTGGACGAAAGGGTGGGTGCACAGTCAAGAGAAGTCTCTCATCTGATGTGGTCCCGGGAGAAAGAGGAAGAAATGTATTCATCAGCTGTTGAACTATCCCAGGTCAGCAGGCTCTAGGCCATACGAGGAGTTGATGGTTTATCACACATCATCCGTATGCCAATTGTCTGTTAGACAAGCATTTTGATCCGTCCCAGGTCTTTGATGGCCTCCTTCCAGTTCTTTCTCCACAGCATCACACTGGTGATCTGGCCCACAGCATGGTACCTCATAAATGTGATGTTGCAGACCTTTGTTAAGCCCCTTAGGCTGACTGGGATTTTACCGTATAAGCTGGCTAGAGAACCCGGCCTGGACCCTTGACGTTGACTGTCGGCTGGTTGGATATCGGAAATGGCCGAACAGAGATTGACCATGCCAGACAGGGCGGATCCTAGCCATACTGGGGATATGTGATGGTGATGGGACTCTTCCATAAGGTAGCACGGAGGCATTTCTTGGTTTCTGGTTGGGATGGTTGAAAACAAGAAATGAGGTGCCATTTTTTTTTTTTTTTGGTCCTGATGGGAGTGATCAAGGAGGAAAATCAGATAAGATCAGATCAGACCAAGAACTGCATGTATCTCCCCACGCTTAACAGTAGGTCGTCTACATGTACTACGTAGGTACGTAGGTCTAGGCCGTGAACCAGTAGCACCACCAGTGGACCCTAGCTTTCGCTTCGGCAGCGGCCGTTGTTAGGTGGACCTCGCTCAGCTTGCCTGTATGGACTGGAGATCCCTGGAAATGCGGGGCAGTCCCCCCCTGATGTCACTCCACCGACGAGGAGGGGATGATGGGGGAAGCTCACTCAGGGGCCAGACACAGTCTTTGTTTTGCTTCCCGCTCCCACCTCGAGCTGCTCAATAACACTCACTGCTGCTAGAAAACATCAACCGCAACCCAACAGCTAACGACGACATGGCTGACGAGAACACCAACCCCGCGGTCGAAGAGACAAAGGTCGATGAGACCCCCATCTCCCACCCCAACGCTGCCCGCCGCAACTCCCTCGAGAAGCAGCTTGCCCAGCGCCCGGACCGCGCAGAGCTCGTCGAGAGTAAGCATCCAGCCCGCCCCTGGCCTGCCCAGCCCGTTGCTGCCATCACTACCTAAGCTGACTGCATGTGTGCTATTGTCTAGAGAACATCCTGCCGGCTACAACTGCTGCCCCGGCACTGGTCGAAAAGCAGAAGGAGGTTCGTTCCTGGCCGCGAGGATAACCCGCACCCGCTGCACATGCAGGGGTGGTCCTGATGCCTCGATACCGTAGCTAACGCCCTTGTTTCCGGCACACCACAGCTCGAGAAGCACATGCGTGCCGACTCCCTCAACGACAAGATTGCACACCGCCCCTCTCCGGATGAGCTCATCAAGAAGGGCGTGCTCAACCCTGATGAGGACCCGAGGTCGCCCGAGGAGAAGTACAAGGAGGCCATCGAGGACGAGTATGCAAAGCGGGAGGGCGGTGCCTAGAGGGAACATGGCTGCAGCTGCACCTTGAGTGAAAGAGCCCGGATCAAGTTTCCGACTTACCCTTTTGAAGTGTGTGGAGCCCGCGGCTTGGACGTTGAGGAGGAAGGATACCCGCTGTCCTCTGAGAGGACTGAAGACTGTTTTGTTTCTTCGCAACGGCGTCAATCAATCTTGTGCGACTTTGTCTGTGTGCTCTGAGCAGCGTGAGCCAAGGAAAGTGTTCGAACATCCCTCCCCTGTGCCATCGCAATCCCCGCCACAACAAACAATGCCCTGAAAAGTATGTGGCCGGAAGATTTCCTTCTGACATGACATCGCGTCAAGCAAAGGCCAGGAGGCCACATCAGATTGCCTGGGATCCGCGCGAGGTGCTGAATGCTGCTGTGTTGTGCTTTGCTGTGCTGTGCGAATCGGAACGACAGCGAGGTCCCACTTATCGATGCCGAGACATTTGACCAGGGACAGGCAGCAGCGTTGCCTGGCTATTCCGTGTAGAACGGATCCTCTCTTCACATGTAAAAGTGAGCCTCTGAAGTTCAGATTCCCTTGGAACGCGAGGAATCACAGACGATGTTTGGGTCTGTTAGATCTTCACGACAATGCATGCATATGTATAACACTGGGATTGCAGCAGATCAGTGGGTCTCCGGCCCCGAGGGAATATCGTGCATTGAGCAAGGCTTCGCATTGAATCAACTGGTTCACGCAGTGAGCGAATCGATTCGCCCGGGACGCCTGCATATGCACGTCGCGGCAAGCAATGGGACGACTCATTCGCCGGCTTGCCGCAATCCGCACGAGGAGCCAACCGCACGTCAATCGTATATCCACACACTTTCCTCGTCTTCAGGGTTTCTCGTGTTCTGAGCAGGAATTTGCCAGCTGAGTCCTTGCATCCTGTTGGAAGTGGATAAAGACAGCTGGTTTTTGAAGTGTAATTATATTTTCGGCTTATGCCACGTCATTTCTCACGGCTCTTTCGTCGCCACTCCGCGCCGCACCAGACGAGCCGTATGGTACACCCAAATTTAGAAGTCCTCATTCTCATTCTCGTTCGGGTCCAACCAGCCCCAGCCAGCGCCCCGTCGTCCGGGCCCCCAAAGTCCCAGTCCCATCACACTCTTGTTCCTTCGCGGGAAGGATCTTAAGAGCCGCAATATAGGATTGACCAGTGGTTGAAAACTGTGATCACCTGTCAGACTTGCTTGGTGGCAATGCACTGGCGATGGGAGCTTCATGACCGATGGGTGCGGCCAGGCGTAGGCTGACAATTACCAGAGTCAAGTACTAGAGGCACAACATCAGGGATTGTAGGAGGGAGAGTACTAAGTAGCTAATATTGTTTTTTTTGTGTGTGTGTGTGTGTGTGTGTGTTGAAAGGGGGTACCAATGTACCATCCAAGCAAAGCTCCCTTTCCCATCCATTCTGGTGCGCCTGTTCCGTCCGGTTGCCCATTTCTATTTGGTATCCCATTTATTTTCCCACTCTTGTCCAGTCTCTTGCGCCGATTTCCTGTTTAATCACAAGTTCCCGTGAGCCATCACCCGCCGCCTTGTTGCTAGTCCGAAGTGAGGTTCTCTCTGTGTGTATGTGTGTGTGTGTGTGTGTGCGCGCGCGTTCCCAGTTGCTTCCACATCACCCCAAAGTCAGGCACTGCTGCGTTTCCAATGACATGTGCTGTCGAGGTTGTCGAGATATTCCAGCCGTTGATGGGTAAGATGAAATGATGAGCCACCAAGTCAAGAGAAGCAGTATGCGATGGGGGTTTGTTTCTGGGCCTAGCCCTGTTTGCCATATGTCTTGGCTGACTTGTATGTCGGACTGGGCTCGTCCTGGCGGTTCTGCTGCTTGTGGTTGATGACGGTCACGAACTGGCCCTTGTTGTTGATCTTTGTCTTGGTATCGGGGCTCTGGACTGGTTGTTGGGTGGACCACATGCTTCCGGTGGAGGAATCGGTCTCGTAGCCCGTAGAGCAGGTGGAAATAGGGCGGGACATTGTTGAGCGACTTGCCCTCGAGTTGAGCGATGTGCCTCTGGATTCTTTCTGGTTGTGTACGTCAACGGCGTACTTGGAGCCACGAGACATGCTTTGTTCAGCCGGCAGTGGTGAGAGTGGCAGCTGTGACGGCCTTGGAGATGGAGTATTTGCTTGAGTTGGTGTGCGATGTCGAGAGTTTGGTCAACTTCTGGGCCCAACAAAAAAGAGAGAGTGTGTGAGAGGGGACAATGGGATTTATATCTGGGCGACGACAGTCCTGAACTCGTCCGAGGTGTCCAAGTGCCGGAGGGAAGGATCTTAGCTGAGAATAGCTAGCCAGAGTGGGCTTCCAACCTTCAGGATACAGGGAGTCACATCAATCGAAGTAGACAAAAGCAGGGGGGTGTCGATGGAGTCCGGGACGGGGCGACGAGGGCGGGCACGGGCACGGGCACCGCCCCCCTTTGGCAGACTAATAGGCATAAACGTTTCATGGCTGGTGAGCGTTGCCAATGCGTAGTGAGGAGGAAGCAGTGACTCAAAGGGGCGCCAACTGGGCGAGTACCAGCGGTCGTCAGGGGTCGGCGATCATGGAAGAGGAGCTTGCCATACCCTCGAGGGAGCAGGGCAGAATGAGGCTTGCTGGCCCCATTGGGCAGAGGGCGAAATGGCAGGACGTTTAGGCACCACTGGAGCCGAGAGTGTGGCAGGAAAGGCAAGCAGTGCCATCCCAGCCGTTGTGCCTGGGCAGGAGCAGGGAAGAGGGTGTCAACAGGAGTGGCAAACATGAATGTTGCAAGGCACAAGGGGCGAGAGGTTTCGAGGCGCGTTCGAAGCAGGGCTTCGCTGGGGCAACGCGCGTGCCGAGGTTGACACGGACACGAGATTCCTGCCTGTCCAGATTGGCCATGCTGTGCAAGAAGGAGACTGGATAACGAAGTCAATTGCCATGGCTGAGGCACGTAGTTGCGGGAGCCAGCCAGGGGAAGAAGTCCCAGATCAGAGCGCATGGTTGGCCTCGAGGGCGGCTGGTGCGGGCGATGACAGCTCCAGGGGGGTCACAGGGCTGAGTCCTCGGGGGCTAAGGGCGCATCCTAAGGATCTTGGCCCAGGCACAATCCTCCGGGCAGCTGTCCAGCTACTGCGCCGTACAGAATCAAACTCAAGAAGTGGATGAGCTGGACAACGGCACAGCTGGCGCAGGACCACGGCCCTCGGGAGGCGAAGGCACCTCGCCGTTTGGCCGATCGTAAAATTGGAAATGGTGGAACGGCATACCTTGCTAGGTACGCAGTAAATACCTTTACCTGGGGTATGCAGGCGGGGGCCAAATGAAGCTTGAGCATCTCGAGTTGAGGGACCCTTCCTAGCCCGACGTCAAGGTCGCCGTGGTCTTTTTGTTGCTGCCCGATCTGAGACTGACAAGGACTCTTTTCGAGAGCGACATCAGCAGGAGACTTGGAGGTACAGGCACCGCAGCTGCAGGCGAGAAGCCTCCGGGAGCTCCGAGGTTGCTTGCCGTCGAGCTCCCCGGGCTCAGGTGGGTCACACTGCTGCCTGCGACGCATGGCCGACACGCAGGGCACCTTGGAGATCAGAACTGCTGTGTGCTGCACCATCTCCAGGCCCTGGAGATGCAACGGGCTGTCGTTGGTCCACTGGAGGACGCGACCCAGATGGTGCATGATACCGACAAGCTGGTCTCCATGCAGATCCGATTCGATTTGATTGAATGGAGGGATCGTGCAGCGGTTCGCAGCGCAACAGTTCATCGCAACGAATGCCGTCTTGGCTTGCGTCGCATCGACTCTCGGGGTGTGTTTGTCCTTTTCTCCCATTTTAGGATTGTACCCCATGTGTCAACGGCTTCGATCGCCGCCACCATCTCGAAACAGGGCGGATTTGGCAGCTGATGCTTCGTCTTTCAGCTCCCAACCGAAGCTGCCTCAGCTGGCAGAGCAGCTGAGTGGGCAATGGCACGGTCCATGTCAGCAGGCACCAGTAATCCTGATGATGCCAATGGCTGGAATGAATCTGGGGGCGGAGGGGCTTGGTTGGTTGGCCATCCCATGTGCCGTCTCCAAAGAAAAAAGACTGCCGCTGGAGACACACTTCACGCCCATCGCTGTTTGGCCTCATCCTCGAGTGCGAGTCAACCAAGAGGTCGAGCACCAGGACAAGCCCAACAAGCAGCCTTGCCCTGCGTCGAAGCTCGACATGACAACCGCCTGCCTGGACTTGCTGATTTCCTTTCGGTTCAACAAAGGGTGAGGCGAGGCGAGGCGAGGCGATGCAATGTCCGAAGCGAGCCGGCAGACCACACACGGCGAATGGAAACCACCGTCAAACCAAGGCAGCCTGGACGCAAGCCTGGAAAGCTTTTCTCGGCAGCTGTTGCAAAAGCAATGCTCGCGCATGTGCGCCTGCTGTAAGTGTGGACATGGGTAGTCTCTGCCCAGTCCAGACCTCTGTCATGCCGGAGGGAACTCGCCGGGTATCGAGTCTCAGATTCCTTTCCTACAAATCTAAGACGGGTATGGACTGGGATGCGAGCGCTCAGCACGCATGCACTCGTGTGTTTGTAGATATTTGAAGCTGCAGTTTGGGGCCTCGTGAGTCGGCGGCGGCGGCGGCAGAGAGCAGCCGTCTCGCAAACCATGTTCATTTTCCCATGCCCGCCGTCTATCATTCTGTGCTGGTGCATTCTGTGGTTGGCCATGGCACAAGACAGGTTTCTGGACAGGGCGAACACGATTCTGGGTGGTGCCCAAAGGTGCACATTTTTGCGTAGTAGGCAACGGGGCGAAAGTCAGAGAGACGGTGATGGACTCCCCTTTTGCCCTTTCCCTTTCCTTTTCCCCTTCCCTGTTCCTTGGTCCTTGGTCCTTGGGCGCGGTCATTGCATTCAACCCGTCGTCCGAGAGCTTATGCCCGCACTGGAGGCCATACTGTGTGAGAGGACAGATATAACGGCATTCATATCGATATGGCCTGTTCGCGGTGTCCAAGACCTCCGTTGTTCATGCGGGCCTGCCCCCGTTGTGGGTGCTGGTAAATGCACGACGTTCCCACATCGCCCTTCTCCTAGCTCCCAACGTCTCCCCCCGTCCCGCCCGCTAGCCCCTGTACCCGGGCATGGACCCACTGCCAACGGAGCACACTGTGCTAATCGATAAGATGGCCCGGGGGGTCCATTGGCCCTTGAGCTCCTCTGGGAGGTTGCAACCTGCCGGTGCTTCACGCTCCAAGGGTCCAAGGCAAGCATGGACTGGGCATGAGCGCTGTACCTACAGTAGTTCACTAGACCACCGAGGTACCTGGGTAGTGCAATCTGTAAGGGTCCTGGGGCAGATGCCAGACAGGGGACAGACAGAGAGGACACGGCGTCAGGAGCTTCCTCGCTCTCGCCCTACTTTGTGTCTCCCCGAGCTCTGCACCTCAATTCCCCTTTTCGAGCATCTGCCACAATCCCCAGAGACCTGCCAGTCCATCAGCAGCAGCTTCACCTCGCCTCTACCGCCGCCTACGCCCGACCCGCGAGGACAACCGCAGCAGCCACCTCAACAGCCTCAAATTGCACCCCTGCCTCATCCACCACGCAAACATGCAGATTCTCTCAACCTGGGTGCTTCTGGCTTCGGCCGCCCTGGGCGCTGTCGCCGCCGAGGACCTCAAGATCGACGTTACCGTGCCTGTCGAGTGTGATCGCAAGACCCAGTCCGGCGACAAGGTGCAGATGCACTACAGAGGCACCCTTGCCGCCGATGGCAAGCAGTTCGATGCCAGTATGTCACGCCCTGCCTGCTCGCCTCGTTTTCCAAGCTGCTTCAGGGGCTGTGCGCCCGGCAGCACGGGTCCATTTCTACCACTAGCGGAGGCTTCCCCCATGAGACAGTCGCTGACCAATGCTCCTTCTGACAGGCTACGACCGAGGAACGCCCTTCAGCTTCAAGCTTGGATCCGGCCAGGTCATCAAGGGGTTCGTCCAGCTCACAACCAGGCGGGAACGGGTTCAGATCGACGCAGGAGCTAACGCTTGACAAACAGTTGGGATGAAGGCCTTTTGGACATGTGCATCGGTGAGAAGAGGTATGCCGGCCGGCCGAGCTACGAACTGCTCGCCTCACTCCAGGAGCAACCCGTCCCCAGCTAACCGATCGCTTCAGAACCCTCACAATCCCTCCCGAGAAGGGCTATGGCCAGCGCGGAATGGGCCCAATCCCTGCTGGTAGCACACTCAGTACGTACCAGCGGATCCAGCCTCCTCTCCCCTCGTCTGTCTCCAACCTGCTGACTTGTGACTCTCTAGTCTTCGAGACCGAGTTGCTCGGCATCGACGGTGTGCCCAAGCCTGAGTCAATTGTCCTGAAGACCAGCACGACAACCGACGCTCCCGCCGAGACGGCTAAGAACTTTGGCGAAAAAATTGCTGAGAAGTTTGCTGAGGCTACGGACGCTGCCAAGACTATGTTGAAGGATACAATGAAGGACACTGACGATGCTGAGCACGTCGAGCTGTAATCGGCTGCTGCTGTTGCTGCTGCTGCTCAGGCAGATACACACCGCCTCATCTCATCGGCCGCGGTATATTTCATATATCCTTCGGCACGTAACACGCGTCTGTCCTGGGCAAACGGAGGCTGGGCCCTGGTCAGCCATGAGGGCAAATTTAGACGAGAAATGTAGACTTTTGAAGGCTGGAGCGCCTTTCCTAGACCCACAACCGCGGGAAAATTTCCAAACTGCAGAACTTCTTATTTGACCTGGACACGCACGATGCCGATAGATCTGTGAAGACATTGTCTTGGTCTGTTGCAATGAGTACCTGCCCGTCCAGATCAACGTTGGGGTTCCCAGCTTAACCTTGCCAAACTCGGAAGCCCCCCAGAATTGCCGGTTCGGGCCGGGATTGAAGGGGATGGTATCAACTAGTTGCCGCTGCTGGCCGAGCCTCACTCGTTCCCTTTGTACAATACATGTGTAACGCATGCCCACCAGTGTTTCTACGGCTATCTCTCTTCCGGAATCTTTGCTGCAGTCTCATACACGAACAGAAAGGTTGCTTAGCAGTAAATCTATAACATCGAGCAAGAATGGTTCCCTTCCTGGACTACACAAGGCATCGAAGGGATTGGTGAGTTTCTCGTCTCCACCCTATGGTTGTGATCACTGACCCAACGCTCCAGCCAATTCAAGCAACAACAACGCGCCGACAGGATTGCCTCTCTATCATCTTATCATGGGCCTCTTACCGATTCAGACCGTGAGACGGTCAACAAGCCCATAGAGAGACTCGTTGCCGGAGTCCACAATGGTATCATGCAGCCCCTAGACATCCTACGGACATACGGAAAAGTCGCTCTTAGGGCACATGAGAAGACCAACTGTCTTACCGAAGTCCTGCTTCCCGATGCTGAGGGATGGGTTCAGGACGGCTCATCAATCAACCTGAAGGGACCGCTTGCAGGCATTCCCGTGTCTCTCAAGGACACCATTGTCGTCGGCGGCTATGATGCTACCGTTGGGTACTCGTCATTTGCTGGCAACGCGAAGCAGAAAGATGGCGCACTCGTGAGGCTTCTCAAGGATGCCGGCGCGGTGCCTTATGTCAAGACCAACATCCCCATCTCCTTGCTGAGCTTTGAATCGACCAACGACGTCTGGGGCCGGAGCACGAATCCTCACAATCCCAAGTACTCGCCTGGCGGATCCACCGGCGGCGAGTCGGCGCTCCTGGCCCTTGGCGGGAGGATCGGCATTGGCTCAGATGTGGCAGGTAGTGTGCGAGCGCCTGCGCACTTCGCGGGGTGTTATTCTCTGCGTTGTTCTACAGGGAGGTGGCCCAAATCTGGCGTTTTCACCAGCATGCCTGGCCAAGAAGGCGTGCCGAGTGTGTTCAGTCCTATGGCGAGGACTTTAGATGACCTGACCTACTTCACACGCGCGATCATTGGGATGAAACCATGGGCATACGACTATTCTGTACATCCGCTCGAGTGGCGGTCCCAAGTTGAGGAGCAGTACTCGGAGAAGAAGAGGCTGAGAATCGGTATGCTCCGAACGGACGGCGTGGTCGACCCCAGTCCCGCATGTACCAGGGCCCTGAATATCGCCGAACAGGCTCTCGCAAGGGAGGGGCATGAGATTGTGGAGATCAACCCTCCAGACATGTACTATGCCCTCAAGCTGGGATCGGCGCTTTTGAATGCAGACGGCTGCAGAACTTTCAAGTCTTTCATGAGGAGTGGTGAGTGGGAGGACGAAGGCGCAAACCAAATGAGCTGGTACATGAGCCTGCCGCGCCCCTTTAAATGGGTGTACTACCTATGGGTCCAGTACATCCGCCGCGACCACATCTGGGCGGGGCTGTTGAGGGACTGGCACGCCAAGACAGCCGAGCAGAACTGGAAGCTGGTCGCTCAGAGAGAGTCGTACAGAGCTGAGTGGTTCGAATGGTGGAACCAGGCTGATATCGACTTCATCCTGTCTCCGCCAAATGCTACACCGGCCGTTCCCCACGACGGAATGAAGGATGCGGTCAGCAGTTGCGGATATACATTCCTATGGAATATTGTGAGTCCGATAACCTTCCACGAAACCCTAGCAGCAGTTGAAGCACGATTCATGGTTGATCAACAACTGACTATGTGAGCGCACAGCTTGATTACACGGCTGGTATCGTACCTATCACTCACGTTGATAAGACATTGGATGGCCTTCCAGCTGGCTTCAACATCAAGAAATTGAACGGTGTTGCGCAGGGTGCGTACAAACTGTACGACGCGCAAGCCATGCATGGACTGCCCGTCGGCGTGCAGGTGGTTGGCCGGAGATTAGAGGAGGAAAAGGTTTTGGCAGCCATGAAGAGACTTGAGGATGCGCTGGGCGACGATAAGTACGATCTGCTCGCTATCGACTAGATGAGGGCCTGAGAGTCACGGGCAACCTTGTTCCATGAAGCCCAGGTGCCTTACTTTGTTGTCCCGTCAGGTGAGCAACGCTGCATACCTAGGCATGCAGAGCTATCGAGAACAATTGTCGTTGAATGTTCACGTTCGTACCAGGGGACGAACATCCACCTCCTGACCTCAACCTGATTCGAGGCCTCGTCTTCTGCTTATATAGCTCCTCAGACACTGTCAAGGGTCTTAGCATCACCCATGATACATGATACGCTGTGCTTTTGCCGAAGTACTGATCTGTGACATTAGCCTGGAAACCGCCCAGTCCGGACCAGCACATAAGGTCATCAGCGACTGCCTTTGTTATTGAAGTTTTTAATCGTCCAACACACCCCACACGCGAACACAATATCACAGCACATTATGCGCACCATCTACTGGAGGTGCCCTCAACTGCTGTTAAAACTGCACACGCAGTCTGGAAGGGTACATAGTAACGCAAAAGATCACTGGCCCTTGGGGGTAAAACCGTATAAGGGCTGCGAGATCAGTATGCTAGTCTGAACGCATTATCTGAGCGACATTGCCAATTCTTCTTCCTAAGTATCTCGAATTAGGCGAATCGAAAATCCATGTCCTTTGTGCTAAAGCAGACAATAAAGGCGAGATGGCAGTGAGCCATCCCATCCCAAACAATGGCTATATCGTTACTAAGTACGTCTTTCGGGACCTACACTCATAAGAAAGATGGAGTGCATAGATCTGGTGATTATTGCTGACGGCTTTTGAATATCGAGATCTGAGAATTCCTAGCCCAGATCTCAGGCAGAGTGCACGGCATCGACAGCTCCAAAGCTGTGATCGATGCCTCTACCAAGAAGCTGATAAACCTGGGTTTGCTAACCTGATGCTTGAACCCTGGGCCCATGGTGTAATGAGAAGCAACTGGCTTCTCGACAAGGCCCCAGACAGAAGGACAGTCTGCGACGTCCTCGATTTCCTCAACTATCCAGCCCCGCCCCAGGAGCCAGACAACAGTTCACCGAGTGGTTCTCTCATCCGGCCATACACTGAGGATAGGTAGTACAGCCGCACAGTCCCCAGGGGTGCTCCTTCCAGGCATTGCGGGAGTCAAATCGAAATGGGCGGCGAATTCATGTTTGAGGAATGTAGACCTAAATTGTTACAGATATCACACAAGAATGCCCATGACAATAAAAACCTGCTTCTTTGATTGATAAAGAGCGGGATAAGGGGTATTTTTGGGGATCAGTGGGTCCCTAAAAGCTTGAAAAGATTGAGCAAGAGCGCAGGCTCAAGACTGAAGATTATGCTTTGATCAACGGAAGAGCGTACAGCAGTTTACAATAGTTCCTGAACCCGTGCATGAGTGTTCATTCTGTACCACAAGACCACACATATAGTCTGTACAAAATCCAGTCCTGTTCCTCTGCGCGACCACTACATATCTGCGTCAAATTCCACGAATCCACCGCCCTGTGGAATATCTGGGTATCGTTCATTCGTAGGTACTTGCTAGTCATTCTTTTTGCCTTTCCCCAGTGCCCTTTCTCTACTCTTACTCAAATTCCTCACGGCCTGTTCTCTCAAGCTGCCAGGGATATAGATACCTGCGATGGCACGAGAAGTCACTTCATTGGACGCAACGACCGCGTCTTGCGGGTTTTGAGAGACAAGTGTCTGGAACTTGGACAGGGCTTGGGAGAATTCTTTCGCGTTGCTGCTTGCCGACGGCCTGGTATCCAATACCGGCCGGGGATTTGGGCTAATGCCTGGAGGATTGCGGCGTAGCGGAGATGACTCGTCGCGTCGTGGGGTGACAGCTGCAGAAGTGGCGGAGACCGGTCTCGAGAGCGAGTTTGAAGTGAGTCGTGATGAGCCATTGTTAGATATTATTTGCTTCGTGCCAACAGATTTCCGCTTTGGTGGAGCCCGCATTCTGTGTGCTTGGTCTGAGGCAACAAATCGCTGAGGAGGCGCTGGGCTGGCTGGCCGCAAGTTGTCAAGTTCGTCTTTTCCTCCTCTTTGCTGCGGTGTCTCCTCGCGTGACTGGGTAGCTTGTGCCAAGCCCGAAAGCCTTGCCTCTATGATATCTGACGTCCGAATCATCGACCTGCCCCTCGATTCGTACTCATCGGCACCTCCTTCTTTGAGCTTGATAACACCTCCCTGTTGCTCGTCCAAGATAGAAATTATAGCTTCAAAAGGTTCAAAAGGTGGGTTTCTTCGTAGCGGTGACACTTCTCTCTCCTCATCCATGGCGGCAGGACTCTGAGGCTCGAATCTTCTCTCAAGGAAGCCGACGCTGAGATTTCGACGAAGCGGTGAAATAGTCCCGTCTCTCCATTTTGGGAGAGACTGAATGACTGTGGCCTGTATTCCTGACAAACTATCCTCTCCTGCGACGTGCTCTTGTGTTTGCTCTGGTGGTGTGGTCCGTACGCACTGGGAGGACCTTCGTTGGCTGGTAGTTCCGCTCTGCTCAGGAAGGCCCGCCGCACCATAGTTTTGTGTGTCCGCAACAATGACAGGAGAAGAGGCAGCAGGTTCGGGCGTCAAATCTTCGAATTCACGTGTGACCAATCCCTCGGCACCCTCTCCGAGCAGGGTTTCGTCTGGCTTGTTCCAGAGAATCTTCGCTTCTTGGCCAACTAGCTCTTCAAGATGGTCATCATCGGCCTGGGCGTTACTTGATACTTTTTTTAGTTGTTCGGTCGACTGCTCAACAGAATTTTCGGACACTCCATCAACGAGACTTTCGTATGGTTCCATAAAGGGGTCTTTGAATGGGTCCTCAAGTGCTTCTGCGGCTGGCACCAGTTGCTCCGAATCCTCTACGGCCAGTCCATAGGACGAATCCCGAGTGTGTTCTCGGATTGGACGCACGCCTGATTCTTTATCCATATCATCTGCCTTCTCAAGAAGTGATGTAAAGTTCATGGCGGGAGTGAGGTTGTGATCGTTGTATAATTGCAATTCCATAGTTTTCAATGAATCTGGAATCGACACCGACTTTTGTGCGCTCATATTGTGCGGTAAAGTCGTAGTATCTCTGGACCAAAGTTCATCGGATGTGCCGTCCAAGTCGTCAGCGAAGCTGGATTTGAGGGGCCACCCATCAGTTCTTGATGTAAAAGGGTTATTTGGGTCCACGTTGGCATCCCAGACAGTCGCTATTGGTATCTGATTCTTCTCTGAAGCCGAAGGAGTGGTTGAAAGACTTCCATGTCGCTCATGTGCTGGCGGAACGTCGTGTACGGACGTCGGTGGACTGAACTTGATAACTACCGAATTACCCGTACGGAATGCCATGCTAGTGCTTGTAAGTGGCAGCTTTGGGTCCCTTGCAGGCCCTCTGTCCCTGAATGAGTCAATCTTCTCTTTGTTCCTCGATCTAATCAAGAGAAAGCCGACTGCAAAGCTCAGGAAAACCGAGGCGAGCATGGTCCCGACCACTATACCTGCTAATACTATTGGCGCGAGCGAGATGGTTGCTGTTACTTGAGGATCATTTAACGACTGTTGACTCATGACGGCGAGAGCCACTGCGGTAGAGGCTGAAGCCTGTTGATCTTTTGATCAGCCGTGGGCTCTTGTGGAGGACTCGTCATTATTACCTTGACTGAAACCAAAGTGGCTTCCAGGGAGCTCAGACTTGAACTCAACCTCAACACGTCGCTGGTTGAGGCGGACAATGCGCTCGTCAGGACCAAGTTGACGCCGACGACCTGTGACTGGGCGCTGGCCAGGGCGATATTTGCATTGGTCAGTGCCGAGTTCACACTGGTGACGGCCAAGTTGGCAAGGTTCAGACTGAACGAGGCAGACGAGGTAGCACTGCTGGCGTTTTGGGAAACGATGGAAATCGACGATGATGCTGAATTTTGTGCGGATTTGATGCCATTGGAAGCCGAGATTGAAGCTTGCTGTAACTGTTGGCTGAAAGTCGCGTTGAGAGCAATAATTGTCCTCGAGATCTCGACTGTCGCTCTATCCACAGAGGCCGCGATCAAATTGGCACAGTCCTGGGGGTTGTTTTGTCGCAGTTCAACAGGAGCAGCCGTGGGAGCTGTGATGAGAGCATCTTGGGACGACTTGGACTCGGTCGAGTGTAGCCGCGGTTGTGACTGTGACATTGGTGAAGACTGCATATGGATGTGACTACGAGGTACTCGTACAGTGTCCAGGGCTTCCGGCACCACTTCTCAATCAACATGTTATGAGAAACCGCCAGTAATACAAGAAGGCAGAAATAACCGAGTGACTTTATTCTGGTTATTAGAGGCACGCAGAAACCACATCCTCTCCCTGCCGGGGGAGGCACCTGGGCGGAATATCGATAAGTATTCTTTTTCCCCCAGCAAGGCGAACACGAAGGAAGCCTCGGAAAGCATGGGAACTGAGAAACAGTCCGTGGCCATCCGGTGATCTGCATCCCCAGAATTTCGGACGACTGATTCAACTATTGAATAGCAGACCATGCGGCGCGTCGTGGTGATCATCGGGACATGGTAGCCCTTGACAGCGGCAGGGCTGTTGGAGGGGATGCATGAAGAATCGCTCGCGGGATGTTTGAAAACAGACCTAGTGTCTAAATGTGACTGGATACCACAAATTCTAATAGTCTCCCGCTCTGAAACATGCCGATGAGAATGCTACTGGTAACCTAGGTGCGCAGGCCACTGGTTTGTGGCCTCGGGATCACTTCCGAAAATTCCAATCCGGTCAAAGCACCAACAGGCCTGCCACTCGTCCGACTGCTGTAGACGACTTGTTGTGCCTTTGACTCTACCGTATGCGCTACTTGAGGACTCCCCCATACACGTTGGTAGATGAGCTCAACTTTCCTCATTCAGATTGCAAAAACGGAGACTGAGGCAGTCATTGAAGGGACGGGTATGGAGATTGAGCGACAAGCTAACACCAGACACCTGGCGAGAATTCAGCATCTCCCTGGCATGGTTGCAGGGATTCGTGCCGCTGCGGCCATGATCATCTTCCTTCCCATCGCGTTCTCTTGGACGGTGATCCTTCCTGTTGGCAGGCGGGGATGTGGTCCGTTGTTGGTAGCAGGGGCTCCGTTTCCCCACAGGGGGCTGTGGTGGTGGAGAGAGGTGACGCAAACGCGATAAGATAACGCCGTGGTCGGCTCGGGATCCAAAAACACCATCCCATCGCATCCATCCAGCCATTCCGTCCCAACCCATCACACGTGCCTCGACTCGACCCTGGCAGTATCTCCTCTTCTTTGAGCATGCTCCTCGGACGAAGCAGTTATACTGCGTTCTATTCTTGAAGTGGATACATTTGCACGCCCCTCATGTCAGCCGACGACCAACAGTTCCTCGACGTGGTAAGCAGTTCCCGATCCGGAATCCAGACCACGATCACTCGCCTGTTACATCCTCAGAGCAACAGTGCTACTGGTGAAGGCTAACCCAGACTGTGTGCACAGCTGTCGTCGATACCAAATCACGTCAAACAGTACTCATCTGAAGTCGCTGATGTGATCGATCGTCACGTCGACAAACTTGCAGAGCAGGTCCGCGAGACCTTGTCCTCCCAGGATTGGATACCAGACGTGGTCCGCCCACGCGGCAGACCTCCCCCTCCCCCAGCAGCCCTCTCCATATCGTCCTCGGCATGCGAAAGAGTCCAGGACTGGGTTTCAAGACACAGGCTACTGACGGGTTTGGTGGTCCTGACCACGGGCGTGCTTGTTTACCGAGGCTACAAGAAGGGAAAGCACAGTCGGAAGACGCGGAGGGCACGGCGTGCACGAAATGGAGGTCGACTCGAGGTTGTTGTCATCGCCGGTGACCCAAAACTTCCCCTGACGAGGTCGCTCTCGCTGGATCTCGAGAGACGCGGGTTCATTGTCTACATCGCCTGCAACACGCTAGATGACGAGGCCATGGTTCAAAATCTGTCCAGGCCAGATGTCCGGCCCTTGGGAATAGACATCACTGATGTAAGGCTCAAGCTCCAAGCTATCACGGCTATATCCCGCCTACGTAGGTATATACTGACCATTCTTTAGCCTCCCAGTGCTGGCGCCTCCATCGAACGCTTTGCACAATACATTCAGGCTCCTCATGCAGCTGTCCCAGGCGCGAAGCAGAATTACCTCAGCCTGAGATCCGTCATTCTCATCCCGTCTCTGAATTACCAGACGTCACCCATAGCAACAATCCCGCCGTCTAGCTTCGCAGATCTCTTCAACACACACCTGCTCTACCCCATCCTTACTATCCAAGCATTCCTTCCCCTCTTGACGGCCAAGCTCACCTCTTCCGGTGCCGAAAAGTCACCCCCCAAAGTCCTCGTCTTCACTCCTTCGATCATGTCGTCCATAAACCCGCCCTTCCACGCTCCCGAGGCAACAGTCTGCTCTGCCCTATCAGCTTTCACTGAGGTCTTGGCCGGTGAGCTGAAGCCGTTGTCCATACCAGTGACACACGTCCAGCTAGGCACCTTCGATTTCTCCGGCTTCACACCTGGATCCCTGCGCTCGCAACAGCCAAGCGGCCTTCTGACCGCCCCGCCAACGGAGACGCTCACGTGGCCCGACGCTGCAAGAAAGACTTACGGGCGCAATTTCGTCAATACCTCCACCTCTGCAATCTCGGCAGGTCTCGTGCGCGGTATGAGAGGATCCTCGCTCCGAGACCTGCACAACGCCGTATTCGATGTCATAGACGGATCGAATACCAGTGGCGTGGTGAGAGTCGGCCTGGGTGCAGATCTATATGGCTTTGTTGGGAGGTGGATGCCACGCACCTTCGTTCAATGGATGATGGGCATGAGGAAGGTGGACGAATTGTCGAGCTGGCAGGGTAGTCACCACCCGAGCCCAAAACTGGGTAGCGAGAGTGGAGATGGAGACGGTTCGAGCCGATTTGGGTCGGACTCCCAGTACATAAATGTGAATCAGGCAAGCGCTGACGCGCATGTCTGGAAGGAAGGTTGATAATGTGGGATTGAAGTTAGGCATTTGATCATCTCTGCTCATTTTGAAGATGTTCATTGGGCTGGCTGTTATGAGCCACGGTATGCAGCGATCCATGGACAAAGGCTCGCTACTTTTCCGGTCCGGACAGGACAAGGATCATAGACGACACAGGGGTACGGCTGGTCTCGATATCTTCTGGAGAATGCTGCTATGCCATCGCCGCATTCCTACAGAAATCCCACTTGGTCCATAATAGGTACGGCTGGTACTTGCAGACAATTGACTGCGCTCTTATAGCGACAAAACCTTGCCCAATCTCAGCGGACTGATGCACTCCCAAATTCAGAAGCATCCAAGAAGGCCTAACGCCACTGCCCACCACGATCCTACAGTTTGGGTTGTTCATCACTCTGAACCGCCGCATTTCGGCACCCTGATCGTCACCGTCGTAGATAGTTGTGTACTCGTCGTCCGCGTCATCGTCTCGAGCGCCATACTGATAGGCTTCCTCGGCGTTGCTGTACTCAGGGCGGTACTCATCCTCGAGGTCGGCATCCTCAAGGTGGGATGAAGACCTAGAGCGGTCCTGGTTGCGCGTGTCGCTGTTCCTACGGGAGCCTGTGATGACAGAGTGTCGCATGAGCATTGTGTCTCGTGAGGGCTCTACTCGGCGGATCATGAGGGAGGTAGATGGAGCAGACGGGACTTACTGGACCAGTAGCTGATGTCGCCGCGGGGCGCGCTGCTGCGAGTGCGACTTAAGGGCGTGGTCCATTACTTCCTGGACTTCTTTGGGGTGAATGTAGTAGAGGGAGATGAGGCTGCCCTCTTTTGCTTGGATGATGGGTCCTTCTTCTTGGCAGGAGCCTGCTTCGATTTCGGCAGAAGCATCCTCCTTGAGCTGACCGGTGGGCTTTGGGGCTCGCTGGTCGTATTCTTGCTCAGGCGTGCGAGGGGCTGTGAGGTTCAGGCCAACATCATGGCCAAGCCTCATCCAGGGTGAAGCAAGGCTGCCGTCCGGGGTTATCTTGCATGATTCTGGGATGACGATGGGCTTTGGGACATTCAAATGCTTTCGTCCAATCTTGGTCTTGCTGCCAGGCTGCGACGCAAGGCCGTCCTTCTCGTCGTCGTTGCGTGCCATGGTACAGGTGGTCGATGTACTGGGCAAGGCTGGCAGTTATGCGTTTTGGTGTGATTGGGTGGCTTTGGTGTCATCGATGTTTACGTGGGGTGGACTGGAAAGCAGAATACTGCTGCTAAGACAGTCACTTGGGGGCAGGGCAGCTCTCTTCTTGAGACTACCTCTCGCCTCGGTTCTTGACCCAGAAGGCGTGACGCAAGTTTTGTCCGAGCAGAACGGGGAAATAACCCAGGAACACCCACACAACACGTCTTGGGTCTACAGCTATCTAGTCGCTGATGTGAACAGGCTCTACTTGTAATGTTAGGCTGGACCTGCACATAAACTCATCTTGATCACTAGAAAGGCAGGATACGGCGTCAGACTGTCATACTGTGACAACTTGTGCGGTTGTAGACACAGAATTTTATGCGTCTTGAGGCTCAAATACAAGTCGACACATGGTGACATTGGGCGTATTTCTTCACCTGGGGACAGGCAGACTGGTAAATACGGACTCAGGCTTTGCTCTCTAGCCAAGGAGCACTCGAAGGCGTCTTGAGGGATTTGACGAGGAAGGACGCGAACATGTACTATGGACGCCGTGGAATCCTGGTCAAAACGCTGGCCATAGTGAGGAGAAGAAATGCAGTGTTTGATGCGCTACAGAGCCTTTACAAACCAGGCAAGTGTTCTCTACTCTCCAGTGTGAAATGAAGCCACCAACCCTAGAAAATTCAGTCGTGTACTGGGGCTAGAAAGACGGCAACTCAATATTTTTGACACTCATCAGACCGTCACTGAGTCCGCAGCATTAGAAGCTCTTTCTGTTTGACACGCGCGGGCCTAAAAATGATCATTCCTCCTTGATATGTGGTACATAATACACAGGGAACCCCCTTGAATGCTCGTGAGTATGATCCTGCCGAAAAGATAGCCCTCCGCTGGCACATGCCAAATGCGCCAAACACAGAGCATCACGTACCGCCCAAGTCTCAATTCCAGCGGTAAAATCAGGCTGAACATCACCTCTGAGGCAGACGGCGGACCTTTTCAAGTGGGAAGGGTATGCGCTACTCTCCCAAGAATCCCGCAGAGCCAGCTGCCATACATACCCTCGACAACTTCTGTGGCTCGCCTGTGTCAACAACGGATCTTCAAATGTTGCCTCCGCACCGTTACATCTGGTTCGAGGGACGACATGTCATAAGTTTCGCTTCCAGCCGATGGGCTCATAGATGCTCCTTTGAATGTAGTATGGACATGTCAACCTAATGACCAGCAGAGCCACGTTCCTAATGCCTTCCCCGGCCCCTTCCCCGTCCCCTCCATTTCCCACCTCTGCCACCAAATCTGCCCTGGTGACCTCCACGCTCGAAACCACGATCCCTATCCCTGTCCCTATCCCGGTCGCGGTGTCTGTCTCCGAATTCCCTGATCGAGCCCTCGTCCTCGTCGTCAGCGTGTTCCCTCTTTCCCGGGAAAGACTCGTCGTCATCCTTCTTCTCAACCTTGACACTGGGCTTTTCCAAGCCTGTCTTCCACTTTGGATGTGCGCCCTCCTTGCACTCTGGCCCATCCGGGCAGAAACCAGCGAGATAGGAAGGGCACATCTTCTTGCGGACATGTTTCTTGGCGCACCTGGGCCCTAGCGGGCAGAAGCCTTGATCGTAGTGTGGGCAGGGCGGCAGCTTGCTCTGAGGGTCGATATGCAGGTATAGACACTCGTCACCGTTGGAGCAGAAGCCGTTGCGCAGGAAGAAGTTGCACTCGGGCATCTTCCGCAGGTTGAACTCGTGCAGGAACTCGCAGCTCTCTCCCTTTTTACATAGGCCACGCAGCCAGTGCTTGCAGACGAGCGAGTTGAAAGGGTGTCCACCGTCTTGCTTGCCGCCGCTGTTGGGGACGGAGACGTGGCGCTCAGAGCAACGGGTTCCGAGGGGGCAGTGGCCGTTGATGTAGGCTTTACATACTGGGCGATCGGTGGGAAGGCTGTGGAGGTAGGTTCGTTGGAGGAAAGGCGTGAAGGAGAACGTCGGTGTATTCGATGGTGGTGCCTTGGACAGCAGCTGTTGCGACAGCTCGCTCGTCGCTGTCACTGTCGCGGTGGCTGACGGCGCCATGGTCCGAGTATCTTCTGACGCTAGGGTATGTCTTGGTGTTGGTGTTGCCGTTACAGTTCGTGCTGGGTGAGGCTTGTATTCATTTAAGGCTTCTTCTCCCTTGGGTCGGTCGCTCGAGGGAAAACGGTTGGGTTTGAAGCAGTGTGATGTCTTGGTCCAAGTCGCACAAGCCGTCAACCAGGTTGCATGCGCCGCCCTTTGACGTCGAAGCTACCCCCTGTCGAATTGGGGTCAACCGAGTCTGGAAATAGGATAGCGGCCGACTGCGAACGCAGACCATCTTATCAACTGGGGCCGAGGTTTGCTGAATAATTCTTGGTGGGATGGGTTTCGCTCTGTCCGCGGCAGCGATGTGGGGTTCTAGAAGGCCGTGGATCGGCGAGCAGAGGTACCGGAGTACACAAGCTAGTACTTGCGCGTTCCATGGTCTCGGGTACTTGAATCTACCACATCAATCAGTCTTGTCGTGAAGTACTCCGATCATTTGCCTGATGCCCATCCGAAGTACCCGGCAGGTAGCTCTATGTACTGGAGAATTTGCTGCTGTCAATGGTGTCTAGTGACGCTCACGCCAGGGGAAATCTGGGAGACCGGAGAGCAGCATCGTCGCGGGTTGTCCGTTTCGATTTCGCGATCCACTCTTGCCTCGCCCTCTTGACAAATCTCTAACTATAGCAAACAGGCCAAGGTCCACTCTGTGTCCCGTTATCGTCCCCCGATCTAATCGCGTAGACTATATCTATCTTGTCCTGCCCCGCGCCCCTGTTCCTCCCGGCAGGACAGCCCCTCCAAAGACATTCATCCCGTCCTTGACCCTTCCGCATCACACATCGTGACCGCCTCCCCTCCGCCCCGGGACAGCCGCGCCCCAAACAACCGCCAAGCTGTCTTTCAAATATTTCACGCGTCCCCTCCGCTCCAGCGCAGCCAGTCTGTCCGCAGCGGCCTTTGCTACCGCAGGCTTCAAGTCTCAGACGCGCTTTTCGTCCGACGTGCACAAAATCAACGTCAACAAGATGAGCACCCACACCCCAGTCCTCAGTACGTCACTTCCGCGCACCTCCTTGCTGTCTGCCGGCTTCTCCAGCGGCTCCGGCTGACACCACTCTAGTCATCGGCTCCGGGCCCGCCGCCCACACTGCCGCCATTTACCTGTCCCGAGCCAATGTCGAGCCCACCCTCTACGAAGGCTTCATGGCCAACGGCATCGCAGCCGGCGGCCAGCTGACCACCACCACCGACATCGAGAACTTCCCCGGCTTTCCCGATGGCATTATGGGAGGCGAGCTCATGGACGCCATGAGGAAGCAGTCCGAGCGCTTTGGCACAAAGATCATCAGCGAGACCATCGCCAAGCTGGACCTCTCCAAGCGACCCTTCAAGTTCTCTACCGAGTGGGACCCTGACACCGAGCACACCGCCGACGCGGTCATCCTTGCCACCGGCGCGGTCGCCCGCCGCCTGAATCTTCCTGGCGAGGACAAGTACTGGAACAACGGAGTCTCGGCCTGTGCTGTATGCGACGGTGCTGCCCCCATCTTCAGGAAGAAGCACCTGGTCGTGATCGGTGGCGGAGACTCTGCCGCCGAAGAGGCCATGTTCCTGGCCAGGTACGCCAGCCACGTGACCGTACTCGTTCGCAGGGACGTGCTCCGAGCCAGCAATATCATGGCGAAGAGGCTCCAAAACCACAAGGACGTCACCATCAAGTGGAACACTACCGGTGTGGAGATCAAGGGCGACGACAAGGGTCTTATGAGCCACCTGGTTGTCAAGAACGTCAAGACCGGCGAGGAGGAGACTCTGGAGGCCAGTGGCCTGTTCTATGCCATTGGTCACGACCCGGCCTCTGCTCTGGTCAAGGGCCAGATCGACACTGATGCGGATGGCTACATCATCACAAAGTCGGGCTCTCCCTTGACCAACATCCCTGGTGTTTACGCCGCGGGTGATGTGCAGGATAAGAGGTACAGACAGGCTATTACCAGCGCAGGTACGTAATTGGACAAGCAGGTTCACTGCTGCGGAGGTTTGACTGACTGCTTTCCAGGTTCCGGATGCATGGCGGCTCTTGAGGCAGAGAAGTTTCTCGCAGATCTTGAGTCGGACGCGGTAGAAACACCTGCTCAGCCCAACGGTAATTAGATATCCCACGTGCTCCAATTTCGTTGGTGCCTTTACGACGTGAGAGCGGGATCGTATAGAAAGTGACAACCATAGAGACTTAGACCAAATATCAAGCAAGACAAGATTCGCATCCGATGTATCGCATCTTTGATGTCGAACGAACATATCAGCGATTGATATAACCCACACGCGCGGTCTCGCCCGTTTTTTTGCGGAGGCTCGGGCACCTTAATATGCGGGTAACATACAGGCTTTGGCCGCAGAGCAAGTACAACTTGACGTTCGTGGAAAACTTGGCGAATGTCACATTGAGCCAAATGGCTGTGATGTTGGCGGCTATTTGTGTTCAATATTTGTAGTTCCGATTGGTCAAGCTTGTTAGCTGCTAAGGTTAGGAGGTGGACAGTGCGTGTCGTACCAGGATCCTGTAGTGACTTTGAGAAAGGACGAACGTGCTGGAGTCCGAGAAAAGGGAAGGAGCCCACTCCGCTGGCTTAAATACTGATAAGCTTCATGAGTCGTCCTCACATGCCCCCTCCTCCCCTCCTCAGTTGTCGGTCAACAACAAACTCCACCACCAGCGCCACACTTCCAGAACCAGCTTTCACCTGATAGCCTATGAGCTTCTCCCAATTTTGAGTACCATGTCTGACAAAGGCTACACCATCAAGAGCTCCGGCACCAACAACGAGGTACGTCGCAAGACAAACAGACCTAGGTTCAGCAGGCACGCGTCCGCGAGATTGACAGAGCTCATGCTTGCTTCAGGGCAACCACTACTGTGCTCGAGACTACGGCTACGGCAGTGACGTCGCCAATTCCAACACGTACCACTACTCGAACCGGTAGGCTCGGCCCTCGTAGAGCCCCTCCCTTTGACCATGCGACGCACTGACTGAAGACCAAAGGGACGGTTCCTACTACTATTCCAACCCCAATGGTTCCGTAAGTGTTTTTCGAACGTCTTCTCGGGCCGGTCTACGGATTTGAGACGACCTCGTATTGATTCATGTCCTTCCCCATCTGGCTATGCCGATCTCTCTCGTGCTGTCTTCGCTAACGCCCTTCCTACCACAAGACGTACTACAATGATGGCCGAGGAGGTTCAACCTATACCTCTCCCGGTGGGTGCAAGCACTCTTCGGGTTACACGGACCGTAAGTGAATAGGAAATGGGACCGGCACCAAGCACATCCTGCAACATCTCACTCGTGGTCAATTGGCGGTGTTTGCTTGGACGTAGAAAACGGGTGTGTGGGTGACCTGTGAAGTATTGTCCCATGGGATCAGCAAGACAGCGACATGCATGAGTTGGTGGGGACACCTCATTGGCAACTAGGTAGTAGCCAACAGGCGTCCAGTCTATAATACACGCATTACGTCTGACTACGGCAAGTCAATGCAAGCATCGCAGCTCTCAAGACGTCCACCTGTTTTTAATCATCCATGCTTCTCATGCTTATTCCCACATCATGTGAGTCATCCTTTACGCTTGTCTAACGCATTGAGGATTGCCAGATTACGGGGATAGTGCCATTGATAAGAGCATTGTTGAGTCTGGAATTGTTGATACCCTGCAGGACATCACTTCAAGGCCTCTTAACAGCAACATCCAGGCGACTTGGAAGGCCCGGGAAATCGTTTGGTCTTAATCACTCCACCATCAGAGTGTAAATTCCCCACCGAAGCAAGTAATCTGCTGTCCGTGAGCCGTGGTTACATTGATCTGGGCGTAGAATGTGCCCTGCGATACATACAAGTGGTTAGTAATGGCGTTCCAGTGCACTCGGGACCCGTGATGGCTGGAGTGGATCCGGCTCACTTCTGGGAGATCCTCTTCTTCCCATAAGGGTATGTCCTCGGACACGATGAGATGACCCGCCTCGATAGGGCACTCCTGGCCAAACAATTCAAGGCCCTCGCACAGTTCAAACGATTCATCATCGACTAACTTGGTGCCACTCCATGAAGGGAAGCGTAGAGAGCCGTCGTCTTCTTTCAGAGTCTGCTTCAAATGGCCTTCGGCTTCGATTCTAAGACCTTGCCCCCTGAACGTTGACACGCAAGTAAGCTATGAGGACTTGAGGCAGGGAAAAGAGCATATACGCCGCGGGAGTTAGGTAAACTCTACCTGACCGGTGGATTCGGAATGAGTGTCACCTCATTGATCTGGAGAATATCGTTTGCGGGGTTCTCGGAGCAGAAGCTGAGCGGGTTGTCTCCAGGAACCTTTTTGTCTGCTACTAATGGGCTGGCTTGTAGCAACAAGAGGGTGACAAAGGAAGCGAGCTTCGATCCCATCGTTTCGGGACTCGCAATTTTTACAGATGTGTAGAGCGAGGATGACTACAAGTAGAACTGTCCCGCTCTATGTGCAGATACAAGAAGATCGGAAGATGAGGTCCATTAGAGGAACCCTGGGGCCTGATGTCAATATTTGTCTTCTGGCAAGCTTCGCATCAAAATGATGCTGAGGTCATTATACCAGATGGTGTGTTTTCAAACCAATGCTGACAATTACTTATACTGTTCTTGTGTTAAATTACAGTGCTATTTCTCAGCCGTCTCATAGGTCTCCAGTCCGAGCTTGAGGACGGGACTTTCATTGCAAGGTCGCGTCTCCCATCTCCACTCCGGCATGGTGACGGCGCCGACCGGCGGTCTCTCGATGCTCAGTAAACAGATGGTGGTGCTTTAGAGCTCCACTGGGCTACCTAATAGAAGCTATGACGGATAGCTTGAAGTCGGTCCCAACCTCGGGCCTGGAGGATGTGGAGAGATGCTCGTCCTTCCTACCTATTGATCAGCCCAAGCTCCACCTCTTGATCGCTCTGAAATACGGACAAGCTAGCTCCCTCTTCTGCAAGTAGTTGCTCTTGTGCTGGCGCGGGGTGGGTGGCCACAATCGATAAATGTCAAACTCATGGGCTTCCCCTCCCGCACGTGGAGCTGAGGTCAAAGAAGTGCGCCCCCAGCTTTTGAAGGGAAAAAGTACTTGCAGTCGAAGTTGCCCTCACAGTTGAGCCAGTTGATGTAAGCCGGGATCTTTTCGCATAATTCCGTGTGCGGAATTCTGAGATGCGTAGCGCCGTTGCTGGCTGGCGCTCAGAAGCCAAATGTACTACTGGTCACAAAAAACGGCCAGAGTCCAATGTGAGCTGACGTGGACTCAACTATCCAAGCTCTTGTATACTTGCCCAGTCGGTTATCAAATCATGTCGTATTCCCGAGGAATCACGATCACTTCCGTTTTGACAGAAGCGCGCGCTCATGATGCCATTGTGCTGCTGTATGAGGGAACTAGGCAATGCCCCTCCTGAGATCTCCCCGTTTCGCCAGGCATTTGTAATGCCGTGACGGCTGCTCCCCCACCTCGGAAGCACATGATAAGGGCTGCCACCACGGACTTGTTGAATACAAAAGTTCTCTTTTGCAAACTGACACAAAACTTCGAAGTGCACCATCTTGCTTCGTCGATCCCATTGAATACTCATCTTCCGGCTGCAGTAATTCTCCTGATCACACTGCTTCAACATGTCTTCTAACAACATCCAGAGCGTTGCAGTCGTTGGTGTAAGTGGGCACGGGCCCTTCAGCGCTGCCTACTCCAGATCGGAGCACAGAACTCAGAACCGAGAAGTTGAACTAACAGCCAGGAACGGTACCATAGGGCACCGGAACTCTAGGGAAACCGATCGTTAGAGAGCTCGTTGCTCAGGGATTCCAGGTCACTGTCCTATCACGAAGCGATACGCAAGATGATCTGCCTAAGGGTGCTGTCGTGAAGGCAGTGGACTATGACAGCCTTGAGTCCCTCAAGACCGCCCTGGCGGGCCAGGACGCCGTCGTATCCACAATCGCCTCCCCTGCTGTTGGCCCTCAGCAGCAGAATGTTGTTGATGCTGCATACGCATCTGGAGTGAAGCGCTTCATCCCATCCGAGTTCGGCATAAACACGCGCGAGCTCCAAGGCTTGAAGATCGCGCAAATCCTGGCCGGAAAGACCAAGCTGGTGGATGACCTTCAGAAGAAAAGCGAGGAAACAAAGACCTTCACTTGGACTGGGATCTCCAACGGGCTCTTTTTCCACTACGTACGTGCTACCATCGCTCTACCCCTCCATCCGATTCAATTTCGTTAACATCAGTCTAGTTCGGCTTCGATGCGAAGGCGAAGAAAGCCACCGTCTACGACTCCGGAAACGAGCCTTTTCAAACGAGTAGCCTAAGTCTGATTGCCAAGGCTGTGGCATCTGTGCTGAAGCACCCTCAGGAAACTGCAAACAAATACCTGTCCATCGCCTCGTTTCAGCCGTCTCTGAACGAGATCCTCATGATTGTAGAGGACGAGACCGGCGCCAAGTGGACGGTTGAGCGCATAAGTACACAAGATTTGCAGAAGACAGGCGAGGAGAAGTTGTCCAAGGGCGATTTCAGCGCATTCAGAGAGCTACTGAGGGTGCATATCCATCGCGATGGGGGCGGACATTCTGTTCCGGAGGGAGAGCTTGCCAACGGACTGCTCAAACTGCCCAAAGAGGACCTGCGTGACTCGATTCAGAAATGGTTGGGTTAGCGGGTACATTCTAAGTCTGCTTGACGTTGCTTGTCAAGAGTCCATGTGCTCATTCCGATTGCTGGGAGACACAGATGAGGCTTGAATGCCCGATTGCGATCCCTTGAATACAGTGTGTAGTTCCATTGCACTTCGTCTCATATTTGGGATTCGTTTCACAGAAATATCAGTGATTGGACACAATTTTCGGGAAATAATCTCCATCATGTAGCCCATAAGGGCATGTTCTTCACACAGCCACTCGACATGAACCCTGGCTCAAACATCACGGGCCCATTCCAGCGCAGCCTGTCGTCGTGTTAATTGTGGCCAGACCAGCCCGGACACCAGAATGCGTTGCTGTTAATGGGACAGTATCGAGGAACAAGTGTTCTGGACCAGCAGAGGAAGAGCCGTCCTTGTTTTTGGGCAAGATCATGTCGACATATCAATAAAGTTTGTTTCTCAACGCCTACTTTTTTGGTGCTGGACTATCATATTTGAGTTACGAAATACCTCAAATTACAGACCAGGTTCAAGAACTCAGAAGCCTTGCTTAGCATGCCACTTTTCTCCCCAGCCAGGGAAAAAGGGGCTCTCATCTAAAGTACGAACGTCCCAGTCGCTTGGTACCACTCCCTTCTCAACCTGCTCTTGGGACCACTTCGTACAAGCCTCAATGGTGACATCCTTGACGTGATCCACAGTTTTGTAGTCGACCAGACTTTTCTTGCCCTCCTGCAAGACCTTGAGTAATATAGCCGGCACAAAAGGCTCGTCTCTGATCTCGGTGATCTGAGAGAACACCGCTTTGAAGTTGAACACGATTGCACCGCTAAGTGGGAGCCTCCGCAAAGTCTGGTAGTCGCACCTCAATTTTACGTGATCGATAGTCAGATCGTCCTTGCAGTCCGCGAACATACTGCGCTCCCATGACTTGTCCCCCATCATGCGGGGGCTGCTGAACAGTGGTGCGTGATCCTCCAGACTCCAACTACACCGCTGGATAGGCTGGTCGACAGCCATCTTGGCGAAAAAGCGATCCATGCTGAACGCCATCTTCTCAGCATAGTCGGGAACAGCGTCGTGGATGCGCTTCAGTGGCTTGCCGCGGTGCATCCCGATGTCCCAACCTACACTCGAGCAGACCATTGCCGCCCGCAGGTAATAAAAGCCGTCATGCTCGTTGCGAAAGACCAGGGCATAGTCTTCCGGGATGTTTTGGTACACTACTTCCCTGCTACCTGTTAGTCACCTGCTACGGATCCTGAAGCGATACATTCTGGAACATTCCAAAACATGACGGACGGGGATCCGTGAAAGGACAAGAATAGGGCTCACAACGGCGGGGTATTGATGAGATCAGTGGTTGTGTCGAGAAGACGGTTCTGGAGGATGGTGTTGTCGTTCTCGAGGCTGAAGTACTGAGGGTACCGCTTGCAGAGAAACTGAACCAGTATTTCCATGAGTTCTCGGCACGCCAATTCGGAACCCGGGTCAGAGTAGAAGAAGAGTTCACCATGCTTCTCCTTCAATTGCCGCCTTTGCTCCATGACCGAGACGTAGTTCTGGTCTAGCTCCACCCACCAATCGGGGTCGAATCTATAATGAGCTACAGGGTGCTTCGATCAGTAGACGATCCGAGATTCGCACGTTAGACATGATACAGCTTACCCATGGTCTGATGATAACTCCATCTGAAAGGTCGGAACGGTCTAAAGATGGCCTTGTTGATATCAAATTGCGGGCCGTACGGGCTGGGATATCGTACTCCGGTGAGAACTGAGTAGTCTGGAAATCTTCCGATGGCTCGTATGTCCTGCGTCGAGAACCCGGTGGGTGTGTAAAGATCATCTTGATCCCAGTCTGCCGTACAAGCTGATGGGACGGCGCGTTCTCGAAGTACTTCAGGAGGGATGTTTTGATAAGAACCTGCTGAGCCTTCGAGTTTCAGGCTAGCCAGCGTGTGGCGTCGAGAGGGAGGAAACTGAAGTGTCCAAGGGTGTTTTTCGACCGTGGCAGTCGCTTCCTTGGATTGAAATACGCCTTTCCGTCGAGAAAGATGGAATCCCAGGCCAAGGAGGGCAAGCATAAATGCGCAAGCAAGGTGGGAAATGAAGCCCGTTCCTGCGAAGAGTAACCTATCCATGATGCGGTGGCAATGCTCTGATTCGAGCAATTTGATCCGGGTGACAAGAACATGCAAGAACCTGACAGCAACGAAGTCTGTTGTAGAGACACGATGTGAGGTGGTGGTATGATTTGCTGGGATTCCCCCAATTTGTATACAATGTGTTCGCGATTGGGCATGATATTATAAGACAGCCCGGCAACTCTAATACTATCCCAAGTCCCGAGCTGTCTCCGAGGTTATCAAGGTCGATATTGACTGGTTCAACATCAAGGTCACACGCGATGAGATACGTCCGATACGGAGATTTTGTCATGCCAGACGAAGACCCCGCAAAGATAAGGACGGGATGCCTGGAGAACTAGTGTTAGCTTTGGTTGCCGACATGGTGAGGAGGCGCACCAAGGTGAAGGGAACGCTTCTCCAACACACCCCTTCTATGCGAAAGACAGGGCTAGTCTCTATCTCTCGGCACTGACCCTGGCCGCAGCTGAATTGAGAGGTGGAGTCGTGGACGGGGATGGATGGCCTCCATCATAATACGTTGCCGAGTAATACGATCCTGATCACCACAAATTTGACGGAGATGACGAAAGAGGACGCTTGGCTTCAGCTCCCGGGCCGGTCTTGACGACCTCTCGGACATTACTATTTGTGCATTCGTGGTAGATAGGAGGACACTAGAGCTTTATGCCATGCAGATATCTGCATCAAGTGGAGGCCAGGTACGGGGGTTTGGAGCGATGAATATCCAAAAAGTCAGATTCCCACTACCTGCACCCTACCATCTATCCGCCATACCCAACAACCCTACCTACGCATTACTTTTATTGCAACTCCCTATAACTATTTACCTATTTATAATTAAACTTTTAATTAACCTTATTTTTAAATATATATAATTTAACTTAATTATATCTTTTTATACTTTATAATAATTATAAGCTTATAATTATTAATATATTTTTTTAATAATTAAGCATTTTTACTTATAAGTAAAGTTATTTCTTAATACTTTTAAATAATAAAAATATTTAAGGAAATTATAAAAATAAAAAAAAGCTTATTATTTAAATTATTAATTAACTTTATATTTATAATTATAATAATATATATATACTTTTTAATAATACTTAAGTAAGTAAAAATATATTTTTTAATATTTTATCTTTATTTATTATAGCTTTTCCTTATTTATTATATTTTATTATTATTTATAATATCTTATTATTACTTATAATATTTTAACTTTATTTATTATATTTTATTATTATTTATAATATTTTAACTTTATTTATTATATTTTATTATTACTTATAATATCTTAACTTTATTTATTATATTTTATTTTTATTTATAATATTATAACTTTATTTGTTATATTTTATTTTTATTTATAATATTATAATTTTATTTATTATATTTTACTTTTATTTATAATATTATAGCTTTATTTATTATATTTTACTTTTATTTATAATATTTTAATTTTATTAATTATTAATTATTATTACTTATTATAAAATATTAATGCTATTTATAAATAATTTAATACTTAATATATCTTAAGATCTTTTATATAAAGAATAAAATAATAATTTTTAAGCTTATATTTAAATATATTTATTATATTTATATATTAATTTTATATATTTTTAATTTTTATAAGCTTAATAAAAAAGATAAGGGTTATAAGTAATATATACTTATTATAAATAAAGAACCTTATTATAAATATATTATTCTTAATAAAAAAAAAACCCTTAAAGCCTATATAAACTACTTTTACTTTAATTATAATAATAAATGCTTTTATTAAAAAAATAAGCATAATATTAAAATAAATTAAAATATAAAAAATTAATAAAAATAAAAATAAAGTAAAAAGCTTAATATAATAATTATATAACTTAAGGTAAGCTTATAAGCTTTAAACTTAAGCATATAAAGCTTATAATAATTAAGGATTTAAAGAAATAATATAATAAAATTAATTATAAGCTTTTAAACTATAAGTTTAATATAAAGCTTAATTAAGGAAAATATAAAGCTAAAAAGCTTAATATAAAAGTTTAGGGAATTAATTATTAATATTTATAAAGGTAGAAATATTATAAAAGTTTTATAATAATTTTTAAAAAAGTATAAAATATATTAAGCATTTTTAATACTTAGTAAAATAAATTAAAGATTAAAAAGATATAAAAACTTAAAAAGATATTAATAATAATAATAATAAGATAAAAAGCTATAAATATAATATATAATAAATAAGAAGATAATAAGCTATAAAGTTATAATATTATAAGTAATAATATTAAAATATAAATATTTAAGAATAAATATATATATTTAAATATAAATATAAAACTTTTACTTATAATTTAAGTTTTTAAGTCTTAGCATCTTTATATATATAATAACATTTATATTTATTTATAAAGTATAATAATATAATTAATTTTTATTTACTTTATTTATTTATTTTATAAATTTTATTTATAAAATTTATTTAAGTTTACTTTATATTATATTAAATATTTTAAATTTATAATTTAATTTATAATAATTATATTAATATTAAATTAATATAAAATATTATTAAATAAAATATTTAATTAAATAAGATTTTATTTTATAAATTATTTTTATTTAAATTTTTAATAATATAATATTAATTATATATAAGTTTTTAATTTTATTTAATTTTATTTATTTAAAAATATTAATATAAATATTATATTAATTTAAATTAATTAATTTTTAATAAAAAATAAATATTTAATATTAATTTATAATAAATTATATTTTTAATAATATAATTAATATTAATTAATATTTTTATTATATTATTTATTTTATTAATTAATTATTTAATTTTTATTTTTCTTAAATAAAAGCTTAAAATTCTTTAATAATAAATATTTCTTTAAATTATATTTAAATTTTTTTAATTCTTTAATATTTAATAAATATTATAACGTCAAGCACCAATAAACGACGCATACTAGTGAGCAACGCATTTTTTAGCATTAAGAGCATAATAACCTAAATTGCAATACCATAATTAGAAAAAATTAATTAAATTTAATTAAAATTGGAATCTATAAACTATTTTATATTTTTCTTATAGGTTTATGCATTATACCTAGTTTTGTCGTAATTGCCATATTATCTTTTTATTAATTCGCCGTAAACCAATTCCTTAGCGTCATTACTTATTTCATTAGCTAACCATTTCCTCTTTTCCTTTTTATTAATTAACTTTCTAGCCTTTTATATAATAAGTGCTTTTTTATTTTATATATATATTTTTTTTAGCTCTTTAATGCTTAAAAAGTATTATATTTATAGTTTAAAGATTATTAATTTCTTAAGTTAAAAATATAATTGCATAAGCTAATAATTATATACTCTTTATTAACCTATTAATAATAGCTAAAATTAATATTAAAGAGCTTCCTTAGTAATAAGAGATTTAATCTTTAATTAAAATTAATTAAGAAACTGCTTATATTAAGTTATATAATATTTAAGAAACTTAAAGTATAAGTAGTGCTAGGAAGCTTAATATAGCTATTAATATTTAAATCTTAATATTTAGCTTAAAAAGCATAGCTTTTTAATTAAATAGGATAAGGCTTGCTTTTTTAAAACCTCCCTTAATGGTTTTTAGCTTAAAAACCCTCTTATATGCAATATAAAAGGTAAGAAAGAACTTCATTTTATTAATATAAGTAATTTAAGCCTTGCTAAACTAGCTAATTTCTGCATTATATGCCTTTTTTAATAAATTAAAATACTTAATATTTAATAGCTAAAGTAAATAAGATAAATAAAAAGGCATATAAAAAATAATAATATTCTTAAACTTACAATATTACTTAAAATTTATAAAATAATAGCTTTTATGCCCATTAAGAATTAATAATTAATAAATGCCTTTTATATATAATATAATATATTTTTTAAAGTGCTAAATCCATTTTATAGCAATTTTATTACTTATTCATTTATTTAGGCTTATTTTAATTACTTAATTATTTAAAAGACTGCCCTTAATATATTAGCTTATAAGGTATATTTTAGCCTTAATAATTAAAAATAGCGATTTATATTATTTATCTCTATTAATTAATTTAATAGCTATTACTTATTATTAATTCCTAAGTTATATTTATTTTGCTTATCCTTGCTAATTAAAATATATAATTATTATTTTAAGTAATTTAACGCTTATTATAAAGCCTAACTTATTAAAGTTATAAGTATTATAATTAAGGATATTATATTTATTATATATATTAAATATAAGGTTAAATTATGCGTTTATTATATTAAGATCTTTATATAAAGCCCTTTAGTAATTATATGTATAATTAATATATATTTTAAAATATGGTTTTAATAAAATAAGTCTTTCTACTTAATTAATCCTAATGGCATTGCCGCCATAATTATAAAGCAAAAAATTCGCTATATCTTTAATATTCTTAAAAATAAGCGAATATCCTTGCGAATCCTAATTAAGTATATATTAAATAAGCATTTCCTCTTTTATTTTTA